GACGTAAAGATTAGACCTCCATAATGACGACTTGCGGTGTCGGCGCCGTCCGACTGCGGAAGGACATTTGTGATTTGACGGCGCTTCAGCAGGTCTGCCAGCCGCGCGACGCCTTCGTCGTCGAAGCGATGCTCAAGCACCGGCACAAAAGTGGGCTCAAAGCCGACAAGCTCATTAGTATCTGTCGTCGCCGTCGATGCCGTGAAGAGGTCTTCGTAGGCGTCGGTGGGCGAGGACCTAGTCTTCAGCAGAAACACCGGTATGGGTGGCGGTGACGTTGTTGGGGCCATCGGCGGCAAGACGAACGGGTAATTTTCATTGTCAAAACGTTTTTATTTTGTCCCCTTGTCGAAGATCGAATCTTGATAGTGCTGTCGGCAGTCACGATTAGCGGACCACGGGTGGGCCCATCTTCGGCGAGCTGGAGCCTACGAAGTAGGGTTATGGGAAAGCTCACTCAAAATAAGTGGGCCGCTGACTAGGCCTTCCAGGCTCCGTGACTCCTTCGTCCATTAGCATTTTTCCTCCCTGACCAGTAATTACAGCGTAATACGGCATTATGGAGACTTAACTCAGGTTCAGATTTGCGTCTTGGTCCCTATCAGCTTACAAATTCGACGGTATCGAATGCTCTTTGGATATGTGAGAATAGCACCACCTTACAACAGCAAAACCCGTGACGGCAGGAGTGAAAGGCGAGACTCAACGTGCGAGCTGTCGCAAAGACAATTTGATGTGGCGCGACGACTTTCCGACAACACCAGCAAAATGTCTGCGGGAACACAGCAGCAGCCGGAGCCGCCGGTATCCAGGGCAGAAGTGCCCAAGCGAATTCCCAAAGGCGTAGTGCTCGGCAAGGATGGCAAACCATGCCGGTCTTGCACGTCGTTTGCATCATGGGCCAGCCAAACGAAGACGTCCCTAAATACACCTTCGTCATCCGGTTCAGCGGGAACAGCCGCGGCGGCGGCCATGGCGGCATCAACAGCGGTCACAGCGGCAGCCGTGGCGGGCCCGCCGGTCGACTGCCCAGCCGATGTCGAGACACTCGGACGTAGCACGTGGACACTGCTGCACACAATCGCAGCACAGTATCCCACACAGCCCAGCCCCAGCCAGCAAGCCGACGTCAAGGGCTTCATAGGTACATTATCGCGGCTGTACCCATGCTGGGTGTGCGCCGAGGACTTTCAATTATTCCTATCCAAGTCGCCCGTGCGCACAGCATCGCGCGATGACTTTGGCCGCTGGCTTTGCGCGGCGCACAACGAAGTCAACGACAAGCTGGGGAAGCCGCAGTTCGACTGCAACCTCTGGGAGGAACGGTGGCGGACAGGGTGGAAAGACGGGCGCTGCGATTGAGAGGCGAGTCGGGGGGAATATGATGTACATTAACATGAAACATATGCAAACGACTACGGTCAAGGGTCTCGAGGATCACGGTCTTTTCTAAAAGAAGCAAAAAAAGGGCGGCATGTACGATAGTTAGACGGCCATACGAATTGGTAACGGAGACACTTGCCAATAACAAATCTTATCTCTCATGGCCCTTTTTGGCGTCTGTTCTATGATAACGGCGTGAAATGGCGATTTACAAGGCACGCAGTTAATGATGCCAATGAGAAAGTGCACCGTGGCTCGCCATCCAAACTTCCATAGCCCACAAATATGGTAACGTACGTGGCGACTGTACATCGCATCTCTCGCATCGGCCGGTATCGTGTCGTGATGGTACGAGCCGTTGAATCCAACTCGTCCAACGGGGCAGCGAGCAGCCAAAAGCTGCTTGTTGAGGTACAAGCAGGCAGTATTTTTTTTTACAAAAAAAAGCTCAAGCTGCTGCTCACATGAGTGGCCTGACGTTAGTAACCGCAGCTGCCCACCCTTGGACAAGACAAATGGCGCCCGCGGGCCCCTCACCACAATCAACAGGAGACAAAGAATGCAACGGTTCCGGGCTCGCCCCTCCAAGTGGGACTGGCTGGCGTGATCTGTGGCAGCACTCATCAACGTCATCAGCTCTAGCTCAAGCTCCCCGAGCTCCCGTAGCTCCCCTCCAATATTTAGTCCATCTCCTTCCACCGACAAAAGCTCTGGTCTGTCCTGATTCCCTGCGCATTTCATCGTTCATATTTTCTCCATTGAAGACTGCAAACGCTGGTACCCTATTTTATCTTTCTATTATCTTCAACCGGGCCCCTTTGCCATTAGAACACATTGGGTTTTCCAATTGCTGTTCTTTGACTACAGACCCTCTTACACGCTTCTTGGCACTTTACGCTCCACTTCCACTACAAGTATGTCTGGCGCACAAGCCCCCGACATCCGCACCCAGACGCTTTCGACGCCGGTGGATGTGGCCGAATATCTTTTCACCCGCCTGCGCCAGTTTGGTATCCGCTCCGTTCACGGTGTGCCCGGCGACTACAACCTCGTGGCCCTCGACTACATCCCCAAGTGCGACCTCAGCTGGGTCGGCAGCGTCAATGAGCTCAATGCCGCCTACGCTGCCGATGGCTATGCCCGCGTCAAGGGCGCGGCTGCCTTGGTCACGACTTTCGGCGTCGGCGAGCTGTCGGCCCTGAACGGTGTTGCCGGTGCCTATGCCGAGCAGGTCCCTGTTGTCCACATTGTCGGCTGTCCCTCTACCATTGCCCAACGCCATGGCATGCTGCTGCACCACACATTGGGCAACGGCGACTTCAATGTGTTTTCCGACATGAGCAAGCACGTCAGCTGCGAGCTTTCCAAACTGGTGAACCCTAGCGAAATCGCCGACCAGATCGACCACACCCTACACCAGTGTTGGCTCCACAGCCGACCCGTCTACATTATGCTGCCCACCGACATGGTCCAGAAGAAGGTTGAGGGCGACCGGCTACGTACACCGATTCATCTCGAGGACCACGAGAACGAGCCAGAGAGCGAGGACTATGTCGTGGATGTCGTTCTCAAATACTTGCACGCCGCCAGAAACCCCGTTATTTTGGTCGACGCGTGTGCCATTCGCCACCGTGTTATCGACGAGGTTCACAGACTCATCGAAAAGACCAGGCTGCCGGTATTCGTCACTCCCATGGGCAAGGGTGCTGTCAACGAGGAACACTCGACGTATGGCGGTGTATATGCTGGCGTTAGCTCCCACGCCGACGTCATCAAGCATGTCGAGGGATCCGACCTGATTCTCTCCATCGGATCCCTCAAGAGTGACTTCAACACCTCGGGGTTCTCGTACCGCACATCACAGCTTCGGACAATTGACTTCCACAGCACCTACACTGCCGTGCGTTATTCTCACTATCCCGGTGTTGGTATGCGCGGCGTGCTCCGGAAGGTGATTGACCGCGTTGACCTCAGCAGGCTCAATGTCCAGTCCATTGAGCACAAGCAACCCGTCTTGGAGAAACCAGAGGCGTCCGGTACCATTACACAGTCTTGGTTCTGGCCAAGAATCAGTAGCTTTCTTCAAGAGGACGATGTCATCGTCACTGAGACGGGCACAGCCAATTTTGGCATTTGGGATACCGTGTATCCTAAAGGCGTCACTGCCCTGAGCCGTACGTATTATGCTAGGGTGAAGGCCAAGAGTACACAACTGAATTTACTAACATGTCTCCCAGAGGTCCTTTGGGGAAGCATTGGGTGGTCGGTCGGTGCCACCCAAGGTGCAGCTCTCGCCGTGAAGGATATGGGCGCCAAACGCCGTACGATCCTTTTTGTCGGAGATGGGTCCTTCCAGCTAAGCGCCCAAGAATTGAGCACAATGATTCGCAACAAGCTCAACCCCATCATGTGAGACGAGTTCCCGCCCGTTCCGTGATGTTTTTGTTCCCTGTTCTCTCTTCTCATTGACCAGGACTAACGTTTGCCTTTGCCTCCAGTTTCCTGATTTGCAATGATGGATTCACCATTGAGAGGTATATCCACGGCATGGATGCCGACTACAACGACATTTCGGCGTGGAAGTTCAAGGACCTAGTCACCGTCTTCGGTGGCACAGAGAAGAACACAGCTAAATTCCAGGTCAAGTCAGTTGCCGAGCTTGACCACCTCCTAGCTGATGAGGATTTCATTGCCGCAAAACGTCTTCAGTTCGTGGAGCTATATATGCCTAAGGAGGACGCACCGAAGTCTCTTGTGTTGACGGCAGAAGCTAGTGCGAAGACAAATTCCAAGACGGAGTAGATCAATAAGGCATATAAGGTCGAGATATCATTAGATGTAATTCTTTTCGTTGGATATATGTAATTCTGCTCTTTTTGGTTTTTTTACATATATTTATATGGCAAGAGGGCAAAGAAGATCCTCGTTTTTCTTATTTATTTGCATATTATGCGGAGCTAATTGGAAAGTGGTGCCGCACGTGACCCATGCTTTCAGTCGTTAACATAAGCCGTGAAGCTAAAATCTCCTGTTTTCTTCTTTTTCTCACGTCACCTTAAACTCAAAGTTCAAGGCACTTTCTTATCCCACGTCCCCTTGCTGCTTCACCTCGTACCCTCCCATTGTTCGCGCTTGCGTTGATTTCGTATATTAGCTTCATAATTATCTGGGTTTTGTAACCTGACCTCCTATGTCAAACTCAACGAAGAGAAAAAGCCCGCCAAACGCGGGCCCCAGTGCCAAGAGAAAAAAGGTTGGTTGTCAATACAAACTACAGCAAATGCGATCGAGTGAGCCTCTGCTGATAGTTCTACTAGGCGGGCAACCATGGAAAGTGGACAACGTCGCACCAAAAGGTCAAGAGCCTCCACGTCGAGCGTGGCTCTGTCGAGCCTGGCGATGTCGGCATCTGGGTAACCTGTGCTCGTAACATGGAAAGCCGGGCAGCCCGTGAAATGATGGATTTGTTTGACAAGGTACGGGAACTGCCTCCTTGGCCCAGAGACGGTCTAGGATTGACAAGACCCTCCCTCTGTCTAGAGCTTCTCGTACGCAAGCTGACCGGTATTTCTCCGCCTCACCCTTTGCGGGTTCTTTGACAGCAGTATGCCAAAAATATGTATGGTATTCCAATCCCGGGTGAAGAAGGTGCCGAGACTGGTACAGTTTTAGGGGAGGATGTTTCCAATGGCAGCAACGAGGCAAAACCCGGTGGCGGTGACGAAATCGAAGACCTTGTTCAGAGGGAGATCGCTTCGTTGAGGACTCCGTCCAGGAACAAAAGTCACTACTTTACTCAGATTCGCCTCAATGTCGAATGCCTTCTATTCTCGAAAACGGTACCACCCATTGACCCGGTTGCCATGGCCCACCAGATCAGCGTCGACATGAAGCGTGACGCAGAAATAGCCGCGGTGGCCACGGACGAGGCAATTGAGAAGGGGAGAGCTGTGCCAATGACGCGCTCGTTCCGTTATCTGAACCGGTTAACGCCAATCACAGCCAGCGGACGGGCCACCGAGAAAGGCGTCCGGCATGTTGCACTCGAGGTTCTGTGGCCATGGTTTAAGCTGTCACTACAACCAGCGAATTCCCTAGGCGAGAAAGACGATGACGACAGCACTTCTCCCATCTATGCGGCCCTCAAGAAAATGCAAGGCACGGCCGAGAACAAGCCCGATTACACAGTAAGCTGGTTTAGTTTTTTTTTTTTTTAGTTTTTTTTTGGGTTTTGCTGGGGGAGGGCCTGCTTTTGATTGCACTGGACGCATTATGTCTACCTTTTATGACTCGGTCATCCCACAGCACGGTATTATGGGAACGGTTTGTGATGCTAATACAAACTTTGCACTCTCTGTTTCTATTGATAGTTTGCTATACGTCCGTCTTTCCGACACCACCACGAACTCGAGCGCCGCAGTGTGATTGATCTTGTTGCAGCATTGATTGACCAAAACCACCACAAAGTCGACCTGGTGAATCCGGATAAGATCATATTGATTGAAATATTTCGGGTAATATTTGTCCTCGTTTCTCCACTTGTTTTTGGGCCCCATATACTGTCACTTCCCGTACTAATAGTGACAAGTATACCTGCGGTATGAGTGTTGTTGACGGGGACTGGAATAGCCTTCGGAAATACAACCTCTCAGAACTTAGCAACCTCCAGCTCAAGAATAAAGAGCCGCAGGACCTGGCCAAGGTGACTGGGACGATTACCACGACCAGGGAGGGCGGGGATACAGTGACTATTGGTCCGACAGAGGGCGAGAAATGAGTGTCTTATGGCCCTTCATTCAGGGGTGAGATCACTACCTGCACTCGAGAATCTCAGACGCAGAAGAAGAAGCCGCTTGTGATTTGGCACATGTTACAAGGAGGAGTCTTGCTGATTCCGCTAAGCGTGAGTCGCACAGCGTGGAAGCGAGCTGCTTGATTGCAAGGTGCTGGCATCGTTAATTGACACTCCGTGCTTGTGCGTCCTGCGACCAGGCTGGTCGGAACTTGTTTTACAAATTTCCTTGCGGCACCGCTTCCAAGGGCAGTCTGTGTCACGCATTTTATGAAAACCGGGTGGGCGAATCGACTCACATTGTTCCGTTTTTGGCTCTTGTACACCTGTCCCATTCCCACTGTTCATATAATGTGCACCGCGTCTGCTGCCATCGAATGTCAATGGGCAGGTTGGTAGCGGATCAGCCCCGTGTGGGGAGGTCAGATTCGGGCGATATGTGCGGAGCATGTTACCTTGATCGCATGCAATTATTGCCTGGCTGCAAACTTGTAATCAATGGGGCCCCGTCCGATTAAAAGTAACGCGGCTGCTGCAACCGATGCAGCAATCTGCCCAACGCATACTGTTTCGCCTACATCTGTCACGCATTTTACCTTTGTTTTACGTCGCAAATCAACAAGGAAAGTGTCCGGCTATCCTTACTATGCTTTCCTTTTGCCGTTCACCGATACAGCTCCTCCGTCTCCGCCGCCTGAAGTACCGCCCCGATGAACAGAGTATTTTTGCCGGCAAAACTCATGTTCAAGTCGTCGCCGCAAGAGAAGCACGCGAGTCGCTTTTCTTGTTGGGGGCTTCTCGCGCTAGGCCCTATTGCGATAAATTTGACGAGCCACGGTCGCTGTGACCCAACCTGGCCAGGGCAGCTGGCAAATGTCTCCAGGCCCTGGGCGTGGAGACTCGGGCGAGTCGGGCTACAAAACAATCTGCAAAATACCTTGCAACGTGCCACGACGTAACGGTGTAGGATTAAGTCGAGTGCGTGTTGTTTACAACGTCCTTCTCGCAATGCAGAATTGCTGTGATCAAGGAGTGGCCTGGTCGGATCGGTGATAGAAAGGGACGTTATATTATGCATGCACACATTTGTATGCAGACAAATATCTTTTTTTCTTTCACTGGCGGGCACATTCCAGTGCTTGGAACGCTGTCTCGGACGACACTGTCTCCCCGAGAACGGAGGACACTGAGATGACTAAACTCATCCCTAGCACTTTGTATTCTCGGGCAGGACAACCTGAGATTCCAATATCTCGAAAGTTTTCAAGACTCCCACCAAACATCCACTCGTCATCACGTCAATGGTCAGAGCTGTCTTTGGTCTGACATTGTCTCGCTAACGGCCAGCCAATCACAGATAACCCGTCTCGCTTGCCCCTGCAAATCCCGCCCTCCGCACCGGCCCAAAATTATTGGCCTACTTGGTCCTCATGCTCTCTATGTCACTTATGACATTCGGGGTTTCTCTGGCTTCCTTCTCGTTGCTTCTTCCGTTTCCCAACCTATTTCGACTTGCAGTTTAACTTTATTATGCTCCTTCGGGACTCTTGTGTTTTCTTCACCTCCTTCCTCTCCGGATTGTCCGTCTTCTATTTCACTGCTTGGTGAATAAATGTACATGGGCTCTTAATATGTGCCATTTCCTATTTTGGTAACACACCATTTTAATCCAATAGGCTTACTGGTCTCGTCGTCGTTCCCCAATTTTTATTCATTTTGTTCCTGATGTTTGTTTCCCCTGTTGCGCCAACGCATGTAAACGCTCCCATATCATTCTTGTCCTGCTCACTGCATATGACTCCAAAAATCCTCTCGAATTAATTATTATGTCGCCTCTTGCCGGCGCAGCCCCATCGTGGAATAAGACATCTTGTGTCTGCCGTCGTGCTCGTCCTCTTTGGCCTCTGCTCTCAGTTTTCCGCTCGCCTCAGGCCTTACCAATGCCTCGGGCTACACGTCTCCTGTCAAAGGACCTGTTCTTGCCTTTCATTTCCTTTTTCAGGTTTGGTGCCAAAGAATTCGATACGGCTTGAACCGTTGCTTCCACCCAACTTCCTTTCTCGACGACGGATGCTATCATAGGCATACGTGCCGAGCATGTCCGATGCTTTGCTCCTGCCTCTTGAAAAATTATGTTTGTCATGCCTCTTTGCTTTTGTCTCCCATGGCTGCTCTATTACCTCTGCCTCTCGTCCTGCCTTTATTGTACAGGCCCGGTCCACGTTGCCGCTTTAAAACAGATGTTGGTCGGGCATCGGCCATGCTACGCTAAGCGGAAGACTAGACCATCCTGGACGAAGCCTCACCCGTTTCTCGCTACATGCAACACCCTATTCGCCTGGGCAAGGCCGACCAGGTCTCCACCCAAGCGACAATCTCACAATTGGCGAGCTCTCCTCACGCCAGACACTTGAACATGGTCACAAACCCTCACGCGGCCTCACACATCCATGCTCCAGACATGTTCTCTTCGTGACGGCCAGGTGCCACCAGCCAGCAACAGTATCACGCAGAATACGACGCAGGGCACGGGCATACTTTTGCTTTGGCATCTTTGTCAAGCTTCTTCTCATGCTAGCCTCCACATGCCCCGTATTTCTCTCCTTGGACCCTGCTCCACCGACGGCTCGCCAACCAGTGCCTCACTTGTGTGGTCGCGTCCCAAGCCGCCTCCCACCTTCTTCGACTATAACATCTCAATTACGCAAGAAAAAACGTCTCCTCAAACGTGGCTTAGTCGCAAGCTGGAGGCACGTTGTCCACGAATAAACCAATAGTGACCAGGCACGAGACGGCACGCAAACCACGCCGTTATGGCAATGAGATTGCGACACGCAGACACAATGTCGAATCACATACAGCACTCCATCTCCAGGCTAGACAGAGGCTATAGGAGACAGAGAAATGGAGTATATGTACAGAGTATCACAAACGGCCAGAGACACAATTACTAGGCAATTTAATGCCTCTGAACATCAGTCTTGCATCCGTGATGGCAGCACTGTCAATATACTGCTACCGTCTTCACCACCTTCTTGGTCTATTTTCTTATCTCTCTTACCCCCTTTTCTATTCTATTTTCCAGCGTCTGGTAGATCACTCTAGGTATTCCCAGTCTCAACTTTTGGTACATGCCTTTCTCGGATCACACGACCACCAGCGAGCTTGTTTCGTGTGTCCCCGGCAGAAGACCTCATTTAAAGGCACTTCAAAAGATACATGGCCACCATAAGGACACCACACAACTCTGCAGCCAGATTATGTCAAACAGAATTGATCTATACACATCTGCAAAGTCCCCAAGGTCATCATCAGCCACAGGTCGAGTTTGATCCCAGTTCGCCAACAAACAAGCACCCGCGTCTTTCGATACCGCCGTCCCATAAACTCGTTCTACCTCATCAAGACTTTGATCCTTGTTGATTTCTACTCTCTCGCTGGTCTCTTCTTATTTTGCTACATCCAACGACTCTGCGGAATAAACAAGGCAATCTATCACCAAGGTATCCCCGTGGCTAGTTGGCAGAAACTTGTTCAAGGGAGATTTATGCACATCCTTCTGACTCCCCCGCTGATTTCGGCACTGCCTCTGCCTCTCAACCTCACACGCGTTTTCTTTACCTTCTTTTTCCGATTTGAACACGGATGGCTCATTCCCATGCGTTTCTCTCGACAACGAATTTACTAGACCCCTTACACCCGCCATTTATTCCAGCGTGTTGCTAAGGCTATATCGTAATGTGTGTCTTCATTATCGAACTTGCCGTACATTGCCACGCAGCAACAGAGACAGTCGACAAGGCAGTGTGTTCCCCCTCTATCTAATGGGACGATGATACATGCCAATATCCGACACTGCTGCGAGAAAGCATCTCTAGCGTTCCGCAACATAGACCTCAGCAAGGCCCGGAAATCAAACCAGGGGACAGCGGGAGGCACTACGTCTATGCATTTGAACGGAGCAAATGTGTGAAAAGGAAACCATCAACCACAAAATATTGGCCACTACAGGCGTTCTGGAGTACCGATTATCGACTTAATCCCTGAATGGGTGAATTTGAGACTTCTCCACCTCAGGCCGTCTTCCTGGACATACCCGCCCTACGTGTTATCTGCCTCCTTGCTCCGCCATATTTTTTCTAATGCAATCGGGCCTCGGTCTCTATTTTTGTTCTCGTTCTTTCTTTCTCTCTTCCTTTTCTTTCATTCACATATATTTTCTATTTTCTACTACTAGGGACAAATAGATCGTGCACCAGAAAGCGATCCTTCTTGACTGGAGGTTTCTGGAGGAATTGGCCACCACCAACGGAGGTCACCACGACTAACCCAACCTTCCTACCGTGACGGCTTCCCAACACTGCCCTATGCAGCCACCCCACGAATTTCATTACTTGCGGAAGCACTTCTACTGCCGGTTACACTCGACGTATGGTTCCTTCTTCCAGTCTCATCCACATCGACGCATCGCCAGGTTACCAACCAGGCTCGTCACCAAAACAGGCACATCGGTCAGGCGCAACCCTTTCCCTTCCCTGATGGTCTTCACATCTCGAACAAATTACACTGCTCTCGCGTCTCGGACATATATCTCGCAGAACTGCTGCATCAGATCTTCTTTCATTACAACGTACCTACCACACAATTGCAAACGCGAACCCCCGGGTGGGGGGACAACGCTGTAAACTGGGACCCCGTGGTTTACCGTGGACGGCACTGCCATCCATGCAGCGAGTATCTCCGCCAATAGATGGGTCCGTTCAGGACATAATGTCCATCGTCTCGAACATTGTCCCACCACATGCAGCTATAACTTCGGTACATCTGCTACCACACCATAGGCTGCAACAAGTATATGAAGTCAAGCTGTCCGACCTGACGACTCTGCTCGTGGTCCTTCCACCACGTCCTATAGTACGACTGCTGCGTTCCGAGCTAAACATGGCAAGATCTGAAGCTGCCATTGTCCGGTGGCTCCAAGACGAGCTGGTTGTGACACAATCTCCAGAATATATCTCTTCCAGGGGCCCATGCTACCCAGAGCAGTGTGCCGCAGAGTCGAGAGCACCGAGAGAGCCCAGACCAGCGGCCCAGAAGAGTCTCACGGCAGTTCGTTCCAACCCAGCCGGCTTCCCCAAGATGGTAAAAGCCGATCTAATTCAATATATCCCGTGTCCGCTCTCTCTGGCTCCGCAACCACATTCAGCTACGTCTGTGGATTCATCAAGCTTTGTTTCACCGCCATCATCATTATCCTCGTATCTTTCCTCGTTCTCCTCGTCCTCGCCATCTCTCCTGGAGTTCAATGTGTTCCGACCACCTCCAGGAACACCCGTCGCGGCCCTTTCGTCACCGTTGACAACAGAGGAGCGCGCATCCGTCGATTACCAGGCAGGTAAATTTCTCCGCCGCCTGTCTCAAGTCACGTCCAAATCAGGCAGTTTCGGGCCTGCCCTAGCAGTCTTAACACCACACTCCAAGCCTGGAATTCCGCAAGTCGGCGATCTTGTCACGGGTATGAGCTCCTGGTCAGTGGCTTTCCATTCTATACTCGAAAGCATCTTAAGGGATGGGGAGGATGTTGCCGTGTCTCTGGCGTATTCGACCGTCAGAAAACACTTTTGTCGACTGGGCCACCTCCTTGATTCCGTTACTACACCCTCTCTTGTCATTGTTGACGCTATGGACGATACAAACCTTCTCGTTAAACGTTCACCAGCCGTTCGGCGACACTCTTCCAGTTCATATTTATGTCCGGTAACAGACAGCGATCCAAACAAGACAGGACTAAAGGAGCCTAAGCAGAGAAACACGTTCCCCGCTTCACCGACGGATCAAGAGCCATCTTCGAGAGCCGATGTCCAGATTGGGCAAAATTCGTGTTTGCAAGACGTTCCACAGTTGTCCTCTCCCGAGTCTTCTGAGCCGCCTGCGGATATATTTGTAACAGGTCTGCGGGACTGGAGCCACTGTATATTCGGCGACCCCCTGTTTGCGTCGGTCTTCTGCGACCACCCCAGCCCTCCTTTCCTTGATGGCTTCAACGGTGCAAGCAGCGGCGGCGACTCAGCTCTTCATGACTCTTTCACCAGCCAAGAGGAAAGTGAGAGCAGTGCAATTCGGGTTCTGCTCTACCAGTGCTACCATGCCATCGTACAGATTGTGAGAGGTTTTTACCGCCCCACAAGAGATCAGACCGCGAGAGAGCTTGCTGCCAGGAAACGGTTGACGGAAATTTTGGCCAAGCTTGATACTATAGATATAGACACAAAACGTCAGTTTCGACACCGGCGGTCAAGTGGAGAGATATCGCCTTCCAAGAGGTCCAAATCCGAATGCGCTGAAGAGGGCCCCCGGGGCTGAGATGTCTGCGGTTTGTCGTCAGGAGGTTGGAGCCCGAAAGAAGGTCATGAGGTCGGAGCTGTACGCTACCATGGGCCCGTATAATCTACGCGGCAGTGCTCCGGAGCACGTCGGAATACGGCGAGAGCGTCTTCCTCCCTGACCCCAACAACCGCCGACCGACAACTCGCTAGACACGATATTCCATAGCTACCTACGGAGAGTCACTCGGGCTTACCGGTCCACACCTATCCGCCTCCTCCCACTCCGAGGCCGGTGTTGTACAGCTCACCCTTTGCCTGCAACACCGCGGCGCCATATTCGTATCTCGCCCAGACTATTAGGCTAAAGCGCGGTCGACTCGGGGGGCGAGATGCCGCACCCAGCGAATACGGCCTCCCAGGCACGCAGAGATCCTGGGAAGTTGTCTGGCCGACATTGCTGGCCAGTGAAAGGTACGTTGGCGGTGAGAAGCCGGGAAGGGCCACTGCGTCAGCTCACCTGTAGCTCGATCGCCGTACAGGACGGCATAAGCCGTCCTACATCACCACTGTTATTTAATCATGGCCGAATGCAGCCTTCTCACACAGATCCGCACCGGGTACGTAGACCTGAACGCCTACCTCTTCCAGGGGCATTCCGTTGACTCGCAGGCTTGCCGCTGCGGAGCGGAGGAGGAGGAGGCCCCCGCCCACGTGCTACTGTCGTGCTCGGCCACACATACAGTGGGTTATTCGGAGCGGCAGGCTCCCGGAGTAGGGACTTAACGGGGAGTTAGAGGTGGTCCTTGGCCCCAGGGAAAGGTCCCCTTGGCAGGCACACGCAGCACTTATTTTTTACATTTTGCCTCGCCTACGTGTTATGCGTAGCTTGTTTTATGCTCCTCTCTTTTCTGTTGTATTTACCCACTCGTTGCCTATTAGTGGCCTACTCTGCTTATTTGCAACTTAGAATATTTACCTACTTAGTACGGTAGGTTTTTTCCCCAAGGGGGTTCTGCCTAGCTACACACCAATGGCCAGGAATGGCTGAGAAAGGCGGATAATCATAATTATAATAAGGCCGTGGGGTTGAGAACTATAATTGTTAAAGCTGTAGTATGTTTTAACTGCCATCTGTGTCGTTATCCTTGTCTCGAGGGAGAGCTAATCCCAACATACTCAGTATGTTGCCGGTTGGTCCAGACATGCCTTCTTGGCCTCTGAAGCTCTCTAGGAGATTCTTGGCCAGGTTGAAATCCACGTCCACATTCCCTTCGTCGTCGCTTTCTGAGTCGACATATAAAATGGGACTGTTGGACGCACCACCAAGAGCAGGATCCTTGGTCCCATGCCCTTTGGCAGCCATTCCGCTTTTAGGTGGATTAAGTCTTAAAGCGCCGTGGCCTTTTAGTTCGGCTTCAAACTGGGCAGCGAGTCTTGGGACGTCTTCACCTCCATCGACACCATGCCCTATATCCGCAGCTGGCCTGCGGGGTGTCAGAATTACCTCGTCAGTGCCATCTATGCGTTCTGTTTTTGCATTTTCTTGTATCGTTGTATCCGTTCTTGTCGCAGTGTTGGATGGTGGAAATCCCATCATTTGCCTCATAAGACGTGAAAAGTCCATTTCGTCGAAGGCGACTCCGTCGTCCTCCTCATCGCTACTCTCTCCGCTCATGTCGTTGACAGTATCGTCCTCGTCGTCTCTGTCCATGTTATCAACAACTGCGCCGTCAATGCCAGCAGCATCATCATTCACAAAGGAATGAAATTGCGAGACGACTCTTCGGAGATCAGTCTGCAACTGAGCATCCCCAAATCCAAAGGCACCGTCACGTTCCGGGCCCCTCTCTGTCATATGTTTTGTCGTAGGAGGTGATGTTGGTTGCTCCTGGCCACCTCCACCCAGCTCTCGCTCAAAGTCCTCAAATTTGATATTGAGCCAGGCTTCGTCACTTTCGCGGTCGACATTCTTCCAAGCACGAATCTCCTCGTTACTTGGCAGAACTGGTCTGTAATCTCCTTCCTCGGCAAGATCCTCAAGAACTAACCCAACTTCGCGCACAACGCGGCTGTTACTTGTCTCCAACGCTGCAACCATTATTTCGAACCCAAACGTGAGCTTCATGCTCAGCTCTTTGGTGACATCCGACTTTTCTCGCAACGCTATATCCTCTTCGCCGATGGTTATGTTGCATTTCGGAAAATATACTGCTTCGGCGACGGGGCCGAACAATGCCGGCCAGCCATTTGGTGGTGTAAATCGCTGACCTCTCAACTGAGCGTACATCACTCTCGTAAATCTGACGCTGGTAAAAACCAGGTCAGACGGGGGAAACTGCAAATGGGTTTCTGAACAGGCCAGGTCGAGCATGCGCTTAGTTGTAAGCGGGTCACGAGAGACGAAAGCCTCTACAGCTGGAGCAACAGCTCGCGGTCGGTCATGCAAGATGTAAGCAATTTTGCGGGGAAGAACAAGCCGCGCATAGTGAACTGAGGTAGTAAGGTAGTCGGGATATTTTCGCAGTCGGTGAAAGACCTCGTCATCAAGAGCAGGTAAATGTTTCAAAGTATCGGGCGCGTTTCTGATAATTGAAACCGCACTCTCCAGTGAAAGGATCGTTTGATCGGAAGCGGCTACAGAGACCTTTTCTGTGGTCCGGCCAGCGCCACAGGGGATGATCTTGAGCATACCATTATGGATCCATATCCGGTTCGCATCGATCTCTGGGTTGAGCCAGGATGGAACAGCTCTGGCACCCTCAACGAGTAAAAACTCGCCATCGCTGTCACATATCCGGGCCCAGGCACCAGGGAACGACTTAGTCAGCTCGCGCAGCATATATACGATGAACCACTCATCCTCGACACAATCGCCGAAGCTTGTCCGTCCATTGAGGTACAGTAGGCCTTTTAAACAAGTCAGTAAATGAGATATTAAGAACAGATCAGCGTGCGCCATCCAGCTCCACAGGAAATCTGAGCAATTAAAGCATATGCGTACCCTTTCGACTAACTACCCGAAGGTCAAATCCGTCTCGTTGCCAGATGTAGTCCTCTGTCAAGGGCTCGGACAGCCGGAGAGCTGCTTTGCGAAGCTTATCCAGTCTTTCCAAAGGCTTTGAGGCGGCCGCAACCCCGTCCTGACCATCATCGCACACGAAAAGCATGTATTCTGCGGTGTCACTTTCTAAAGTCATTTCGCATGAAGATGACAAAGCTTCACCGGCGCCGCATTTCTCGACTGTGTCCATGCTACATCCAGGCAAGCAAGAATCCTCGTTGAAGCGTTAACAAAAGAGGGAGCATCGAGCCACAGGCAGGATTTTGGCTCGGATGTAAGGATATCCGGGTGACACAGTTTCGATGGCAGGAATTGCCTGGGTAAAAAGATATGAGCAAGGAGCTGGGATTATGAACTGAGTATTATAACAAGATCCAAAACACCGTCGTAGAGGGAGATAAAAAGGTCATTGGCGCACTCTTCACGGCTTCGGACTAGATCTCACAATCAATTAGAAGGGAAGTACGGAGTAATCAAGAAGCAACTACGGGCGTACGACATAATTACATCTGAAAAAGAGTTTGGTCACTAAACCCGCGCGTAAATTACGAGTCGCTAGCTTTCCGCCAGCCACTCATCTGTTGTATGTGGCCAACTGTTAGTCATCTTGTCCTGTGGGTCGACAGGCAGCGCTTCATCCATGACATAGAGCCCTTAGCGCGCAATTAATAAACGCGTGTTTGTGAACATCATCGCGTCAGGCTCACCTCATCTATCCCACTACAATTTCAGAGCTGAGACCGTAGTAGTGAGACAAAAAAAGTAAAGCCAACCAGCGCAACAAACCCAACAAACCCAACGACACAATCCATGCGAAAAGAATCGCACCAGCTGCTTGTCACCGGAAGCAGCTCATCGAGCCAACATCCCAAGCGCCGTCCCACACATTGACGATCTTCCCTGCATGATTCACACTACCTCAGGATGCCTGGTCTAATGAGCGCCTCAAAGCATGGACCTGAACGTTCACAGAGGAAACGATCACACCTCGCTTTGGAAGATGATGGACCGGTGACCGAAACCGAGCTCGAGGTTGTTGATGTGGCCAAGTCAAGCTCAACTTTGCAGCATGCAGCGGCAAGTTTAAATCCCTTTTAACCATTGCCCTCTGAAGAATACAATATTTTAACACAACTACTACACAAGCAGAGAACAAAGCGTGTACGGATCTCCGAAATTAAGGAATCCCGTCTACCTCGCCACCAACCGTCTTCGGAAGACACTGCCTCAGGAGACTGTCTTGCGCCCGACAACCACGACATCGAACAGGATGATGACGACGATGCCCAGTCCGTACAAAGCGACGCCAATGAAGAGGGCGAAGGCCCCTCGCAATACGAGCTGATGCGAGACATGGGCTTCGAGCATCTGCAATACGAGGAAGGAGACGACATGATTGCCACACAACGGTTGGAGCAGCGAGCTCTTCGCAGCGCTGCTATGGCCGACGACATCAGTGGCGAGAATAGAAGAGCAATGAATGGCATCATCGAGCGCGTCACTTGTGTGAATTTCATGTGCCACAGCAGACTTGAATGTGAACTCGGCCCATTGCTCAACTTCATTGTCGGTGAGAATGGCAGTGGCAAAAGCGCGATCCTGACGGCAATCACTTTGTGTCTGGGCGCCAAAGCAAGCACGACAAACCGTGGAGGTAGCTTGAAAAACTTTATCAAGCAGGGCGAAGAACGTGGCTTCTTGGCCGTGTGGATCAAGAACTGCGGAGACGATGCCTACGAGCATGATGTTTACGGCGACTCCATCATCGTTGAGCGACACTTTTCGAAATCCGGCACCAGCAGCTTCAAGCTCAAATCCGGTACCCAGCGACTCATTTCGACAAAACGGGCTGACGTGGACGACATCGTCGAGTACTTTTACCTGCAGGTGGATAACCCACTAAACGTACTGTCTCAGGACAATGCGCGCCAGTTTCTGAACAGCTCCTCCCCTGCTCTCAAGTACAAGTTCTTTGTTCAGGGCGTCCAACTCGAACAGCTCGATAAAGACTATGAACTGATAAAGCAATTCCTTGACGCCCACACAGAACGAATTCCACAACTCGAAGCACGTGTTGCGCAACTCACGGAAATTCACGAGGAAGCTGACAGAGTGCAAAAGGTCATTGAAGGAAACAAAGAAATGCGTGCCAAAAAACGCGAGTATATGAACCAGCTAGCATGGTCGCAAGTTGCAGAGCAAGAGCTCGTTCTGCAAAACTACGACAGATCTGTGTCTGAGGCCTTGAGGAACATTGCAGATGCAGAGCAGCTGCGGGATGCTGCAACTCAGAAGCTAGAGATTGAGGACGAAAACCTCCGCCGCGCAAAAGAGAATTTGGCTGCGCTCAGGTCTGAAGAAGACGGCTATAAGGAAGCTGTGGATAAGGCCACAGAAGATTACAATGCCGCAAGCGCTGAATTGCGGTCTCTGCATGCAGACGAGCGCGACATTCATAGTCGTTTGAAGGGATTCGCAGATCGGGTTAGGGAGCTTGAGGGCAAGATCCGGGACGAAAGGCAGCGACTAGAGGATACAAGTGGCGATTCGCGCCGCGAGACTCAAGCCCGCCTCGATGCTGCTAAAGCGAGACTGCAGGAAGTGAACCAAGACATCAGTCGTGAAATTGAACGGCGTCCCTCTCTCGACGAACAGGCTGCCGCGGCACGTGCGGAGACAGAAAGAATAGGCCAAGAAGTTGAACGCAAAATGGGTGACGTCAAGTCTCGCGAGGCGCGAATCCGGAGCCTTCAACAAAGTCGCGGGTCCTCATCGCCATACGACGCTTACGACAATCGCATGCCTCAACTGCTGGCGCTCATCGACAGAGATGTCCGTTTCTCCAGAAAGCCGATTGGCCCTCTGGGCACCAAAATCCGAGTTACGAAACCCGTATGGGCGCCTATTCTTGAAAAAACGTTTGGTGCGTCGCTCAACGGATTTATTGTGACGACGCACGCCGACCAGCAGCACTTGAGTGCGCTCATCAAGCGTCTGGGAATGAGCAATGTCCCCGTCTTGATTGCCAATACTCGCTCTATCAACACCGAAGGAAAAGAGCCCGACTCTCAGTTTGACACGATTCTCCGCATTCTAGAATTCGACGATCCTCTTATTCGTGACCAACTCATCATCAACAGCTTCATCGAGCAAACCATCATTATCGAGAACCGGAAACATGCTGAGCAAATTATGTTCAATGGACCAGCACCCCAAAACGTCAATGCCTGTCTTGCACTGCACGACAAAAAACGAGGGGAAGGTCTTCGCTTGGCAACTCGTGGTGGCAACAACGTGAGCACAACTCCAGTAGTTCCCAACCTGACGCAAAAACCGCGGATGAAGACAGATGTCAGCAGTCAAATCGATGTCCAAAAGGAGATCTTGGCACAGAATCAGCACGAACTGGACGCGTTAAGAACAGAACTCGATTGCGTGAGACGAGAAGAGCAGCACCGCGGGAAGGAAATCAACACACACATGCGACGCTTGGATGTGCTACGCAAGACAGCGCGAAGCATGGGGGCGACAATCCGCGAAATCGAAGAGGAGCTCGACGTCTTCGACGGTGCCGATGGGCGCTTGAATATATTTGAACAAGAGCTAGCTGTTGCAAAGGAGAAAAAGGAGCAGTTTGGTGGGCAATACGGCGACGTGAACATTCGAAAAACCCTTCAAAATGCAAAGGTGGAGGAGACCAAAAGGCTCTTGGATGCGGCAAAAACCACGAAGCTGGACTTTGCAGCCAGGCTTGACAAGGCGAACCGCACCAAGGAGAAACGCGAGGACTTGCGCAGCTTGGCCTTGGTGGCCAAAAATGACGCTTTTGATAACCTCACCGAACAACAAGAAATCAAGGCAATGGTCGACCGCCAGCGTGACGAACAGGCTTCAGTTGTGGAAGAGTTTACAAACCATGCTGCGGCTGTGTGCCCGCGGCGTGTAGATATTCCAGAGGGCGAAACGCACGCCAGTATCGAGAAGAAAATGGAGTCTCTTGTGGCACAATTGGAAAAGCGCCGCAAGAATCTGGGCATGACGGATGAGGAGGCCAATAACCGCTTGGTTGACGCAAAAGCGGCGCTCGAGAAAATGAAGACCGTGTGCGAAGTCAGCAAGAAACACATCGAGGCCATCGAGGTAGCGCTATGCGAGCGACTTTCCAAGTGGCGATTGTTCCAACGGCGCATTTCGGCCAACTCCCGCACCAACTTCATTTATTTGCTGTCGGAGCGTGGTTACCGTGGCAAGCTGCTTCTCGACCACAAACGTAAGAAGCTGCGCGTACAAGTGGAGCCTGACGAGACACGGCGGAAGGTTTCAGGCCGCGACACGCGAACGCTCTCGGGCGGCGAAAAGTCGTTCTCATCCATCTGCCTGCTACTGGCCATATGGGAGGCGATGGGCTCTCCGCTGCGGTGCCTGGATGAGTTTGATGTGTTCATGGACAACGTCAACCGCGATGTGAGCACAAACATGCTGGTATGTTAAGCCCTACAAATCCGGCGGTTGATCATTTCCATCACTTCTTCTGCTTCTGCTTTTCTTCTTTTGTTTATTTGGGTCGCTTGCTAACATACTAATATTTCAGGTGGATGCTGCACGTCGGTCCGTGGGTCGGCAGTATATCTTTATCACACCGAATGCCATCCAGGGCAATGCGCGGCATGCACCAGATGTCAGGATCATCCGGTTAACCGATCCGAGACAGAGAACACTGGACGAAATGTAGTAAAAATGGAGCACTGGACGTTGACCGTGTGCCCTCGGCGAGTCTTGTTTTTGTATTTGTTTTTGTTTTAAAGGCGCATATAAACATGCTGGTGTTTATACTCCAAGCAGAGTGCCTCTTGGGTAAACTAACTGACAGGCGATGTTCTTGTCAAATGTTCTGAACTTTGGCGGATAGCGCTGGAGAGGGTTTATTTGTTTATTTGTGTTTATATATCTCTTTCTCTGAGGTGTGGTGAATGATTCCAGGCCTTTTCTTTCTACTCGATGGCGTAAGAGCAAAACAACGAACGTAGTTTGACAAAATACACTGATAATAATGAATATTGCTTGCCATCCGGGTGTACATATCTTATAATGAACAAGGCGATTCGCTATTCGTACAGGGGCTCCGAGCTACTTGAATTGTCACCGGCTGATAAGTCGTATGGTCGTGTACATATATATATATATATATATACAGAGCATGCATCATATTACAATTAGGTCAGAAAACAGGTACGGCACAGGAAAATATTGTCCGTACCATTACCATATCATGTGGTCATGCTGTTGGGCTCATACATTCACACTCTTGCTCCGTAGCACGTTTACGCCAGCACTCGCAGCGAAGCTCACCCACTCCCCTACAGACCGAACGTAGCCACCGAGCTCTTGCGACTCGCGGAAGCGGCGCTCAAGGAATTCGCGAGTAGCCGGGAATTCAGGGCCGGAACTGTCTGTGGTCATGAAAAGTTCGCTTGAAACATAGATGGCCGAGACAGCAGCTCGCTTTGTGTACCATGATGGATCAACGGCCTTATCGCCAGCAAGCGCCCAGATCTCATCGGCCAGGAGGGACAACTCCCGCAGTGAAGCAGGAACGTAGCTTGGCTGGGCCATAATAGCGAGGGCCTGGACAAGATGGAAATGTTAGCAAGGACCTTTCCCCCCAACCAAAAAAAGAATAAAAAAATAAAAAATAAAAAAATAAAACGCTCGAACTGGCACCGAGGCACTCAAATGGATAGACACGCCATGTCGCCCGATTCAGAGGCACACATTGCACACATTGTTCAACCTAGTTGATCTCACCTCTTGCCAGCGTCCTACGACGTCTTTATTTCCCAGCAGCCGCCCCCAAATGATACGTTCGGCTCTGCTAGCCACTTCTGCTGGGGCTAGCACCACGTCATCCGGAGGTGCTTCTCCCAGAATCTCGCGGCAGCGGGTGGCTAGGTTGGTACGCTGGTTCATCAGGTGCCAACGCACTAGGCTGAAGACACCATCGGGCAGGATATTTATGCTGATGGCCGGGTAGCCGGCATCGTAGACACCGAGAGCAACGGTGTGCTCGGTGAACCCGTGCGTCGGTATATGGCGGGCCGCAGCTGTCAGAATGGCATTCTCGGCGTCACTGAAACGGTCCTGTGAGGGCGTTTCGTTAGGGTGGTCGAAGGAGTGAAAGCCACGGCCGGCATCAGAGAAGGTAGCGGTGTCGGGGCGCGCATAGCAGGGTTGCCGGGAGCAGTGACGTATAGTCGCCGGCGTCGTGAAAGACAATGCACGGTGCTGGCCGTGAGCGGGAGAGCGAAGCCGGACAAAACTCCGGGCGGCGGTGGCTTCCGCAGTATGTCTAAGAAGTGATGGCAACATAGTGGAATGGCGGCGGCTTATGTCGTGGATGGTGTAAAGCAGTCGAGGAGATCGTGTCGGGGAATGTTGTTTGTGCTCGTCGTAAATTGTTGTGATCCACGACGTACGCTGAGTTCGATGCACCTCCAAAAAAAAAAGCCTGGTTTCTTGCTGGCCAGAGTCTAGCCAGGCCTGTGGACTTGAGCCATTCCAGACAACAGTGACTCCGCTTAGGCCTGTAATTATTACCACGTCGTAATAACGTAGTAGTAATTACGTCGCCCAGCCCATAGGCCATTGATTCAGCGGGGCAAACCGCCCGAGACTCTGTCGGAGAAAAATTAGTGCGGTTTGATGCTCTATTACTGAGTTCGTTTTTGAGGCTCGTAGAAATACACTTACAATTTTAGTCGTACGTACAAAATACATCGCACGACGTAATGCACCTAATTAAAGATGCATATACGACCTATGGAAATAGATGCTTTGCCGCAGGGACAGTTCGGAACCTAGGTGGTAGACGTCCAGCGGCCGCTGTGTGGTGGAAGGACGGCATACGAGAGAAATGGGTCAAAGTATGCCATGGGGAGGGGACGGAGAGAGCTTCACAAAGTTGCATATGTGCAGAGGTTGTCATGCCGCATCATCTTCCGGTGCTTTGCTCTGCACGTCGGCGTTTTGGTTTCTCCTGCAGCAGGCTTGGCAGAAAAAAGGCTACAACTGCTCGCAGAGGGCACTCCCACTCGCAGCACGGCGCAATGCACAGTCGCTTTTGTTTGCATGTTGGGCAATTCGACAAGGCCGTTGCTAACACACGTTTTATCTTGTCGGGCAAATCAGGGCTTGCCCAGAAGCATACAAGTCGCAGCGCCAGGTCCTTGGGACTACAGCCTACAGCGGCATATCGTTGTGAGCGCCAGGTTTGGGACGGAGCCTGGGCGGGAGACAGACTACATAAAGTGGCATGGCTGCGCGCTATGTAGAGAACGGGGGTGAAGGGGCAAAGGATGTGGTGGTTGGGTGAATGGCTTTGGAAAGAATTTTAAAAGAGAGCGTAAAATGGTGGAAGGGTCTCGGGAATGGGTTCCTAAGTGCTTTAAACAGTGCAAGGCTATCGCCCGATTAACTCAACCTTTCACGACAAATGGGGATTTACCATGTCAGGGCCCGCTAGGTTGCTTGTAGCCGTACAGAACACTCCCGCCCGCCAAGATCTCCTGTTTCCCCTAGAACCTTACACAAAACACTTCGGGACATGGTAGTTACAACATACAGAGTACGACATACCGCGACCAAAGCATACATGGAATACGACCTACCAGGGTTGGGCTGGGCAGCCCTGCCGCAGCCCGAAGTCGGCGATGAACAAGGGCCCTACGAGACACGAGCTGCCGAGATTGTATACGGATAAAGGTATAGAGTATTACTTTGCAATAATCTGAAATGCGTTTGCACCTACAAGACACATTCATGTCTTACATCATAAAGTACTCTGTACTTCGAACGTGGTATGGAACTGAAGTAGTCGCTGAAGTGCAACGAGCTGCACAACTCCGCAGCGACCCACATACGCGCCCATGCCTTACCCGCGTCCATCAGCGCAGTCTGTGATTCGCCCATCAACAAAACGCCTCTGGTGCCTTGACCGGACCTGGCTTGCTGACTTCCTAGATTGCTAGATTGCTGGAGTGCAGCACTTGCTTCGTAGCTGCCATGCTTGCGAGCCGACTGGCTTGCTTCCTTAGCTGTCGACGTGTTTCGTTAACTGCAGAACGAGGCAGGTGCGCAGGGCATTGCTTGCACCAGACCGAGCAGGAAGCATCGACGACGAGCCTCAAATTGTGCCTCCCAAGCCCGTAACAAACCCTCCTCCTGTAGCATCCATTCCTTGGGCTCAGCTTGGGCATGGCTTGGACACAAAGCCCTCGCACTCTGCCCACCTCGCCCAATGTGGCAGCCGCGTGTCTCTCACCTCGCGCCTCACAAAAGCAATTGTCGTTTCTCTCCCCACACACACCACACACCACACACACCATACAAACATGTACCCTCTCAGCCTTCGTGTACAAATACGACGTACGCTTTTTTGCATGTTACGTCTTTTCGTGTGTTCTCGCCCTTTGTGACTGAAATCCGGCATTAAACCATTCCTGCCACCCTTCCTTTTCCTTTAGCAAGTCCCCGTTTCTGACACGGGCGCCCACGTCCGCTCTACCAATTTTGTCGCCCTCCCTCTGGCGGCGCAGGGAAGCAAAGGCAACAGCAAAACCTTGCAAAATTCTGTTATTCTGTTTTGCAAATGTTGCTCGCATTCGCAACGCGAAATATCACATACTCGCACGTCAACCGTTTGTCTCGGTGCGGAGGACCACTGGCGACTTTGTATTACTATGTAATTACTCCGTCCACAGCCGTGCCTTGAGCTAGTCGCGTCTCGACCAAAGGACTGTTGAGCTTTTCAATACCTGTCTGGCCAGGCCCTTCTCGGTACTCCATCACACCCCCCCACCTCCTTCCCATCTAGCCAACCAAAGGACCTTCCTCCACTCCCTCTTCCTGCAGAGCTTTCTGCATCTCCGACATTCCCTCTCCCTCTCTTCCTTTCCCGCTCTCACATACCACGCACCGCACCACTCGCCGCACACCATCGCCCATCCAATCCAACCACCGCAACGCCCCTGAAACGCCTGCCTACGCCATTCACATCGCCCACGCCGCCATACGACGTACTCTTTTCCAGCCTGTAAGTGCTGTGGTCCCCCCTGCCCCCTCACGCTCCTCATCACCCTGCTGCTACTGCGTGCTCCTCATCACCTCCCCCTCCCGTCGCAACAAGTACAACAGCAACGCCATCCCTTGTCTCCTTTGCCAGCTCGGTTGTACTTGCAGCACTCTTTCCTAAACTCCCCATCCACCTACCAGAGCAGACCGTGGGACGTTCGTACACGGCTAGGTTTGCCCCTCCTCGTTGCTGCACTCGGCTCCTGTCTGCACAAAGTATATCATCATGGGTAAGTTTTGAGTTCTTCGTGTTCTTCGTCTTTCTCGTGCCTTCTGTCTCCCGCCTTTTCAATCCGTCGTCGCCCTTTTCAAACGGTTGCAGGCCCTCTCGTGCATACGTGCCTGCTTCAACTCCCTTGTCTTCTCACCCTCTGGCTGCCCTGTGTGTCCGTCAGGACTGCCTCCCTTTCCGAGTCCGGTCCATCCTCGTTGCCGTGGATCTGTCCTTTTGGCTTCCTGCCCAGCTCGCGCCGTCTCCATCGTCGACTTCCTTCGTCGTTGTCTGATGCTCTTGATGTCCCATGCTCATTGGCAACCGCACGGCATCATCTTCGTCCCCATTATCCTCCTATCAACTCCCTCGGTCTTGTACGTCCGGCAATGGTTTTGTGACTCTTCGCTTGCCTGTATCACGTTTTCCCTTTTCTTCTCTTCTCTCCTCTTCTCTGTCAGCCCTTTCTCGCTTGCATACTGACCACCCTAACCGTCCACCGAGCAAACCTTGACACGTTCGCTTGGCGCCTGTACCTCGTTCCTGGTCTCGATGGTACAGAAGGACAAAAAACAACGAATACGGTGATTCACGCTGTACCACAGTCTGCGCCTTTGTGCTAGCCGCTCATCTCTCCCCCTTTGCGCCCCCATGCACCAACACCTTGCAGCTGTGTCCCCGTCCTTCCTTCCAGCCGCCTCTGCATAGCATACTGCCGTCTTCACACAGCGGATAACAGCTTTGGTACATTGGTCAATTCCCGACACCTGCTACCGCACCTCATTATCACCTCATTCCCCTCATATATAGGTGACCACCTAGACGGCTAGTCTTGCTCACAATGATCGAGGCACATGGCTCCCTGAACGAAGACGCTGGGCCACAGCACAAAGCATCAATAGGACACAACTGCCGCCCACCAGTTCAAAACCGCTCCTTTCGATGCATACACATAACATACCCAAACACCCAAGACTGGGCTGCATGCGCACGCATGTAGACAAACCTCTCCCTCTTTCCTTACCACTAACTCCCTCTTACGAAAGCGCGAGTGTCCACTACTTCCGCCCGTAGCAGCCACCTCTTACCCCCCTCAGTGTACTTCGTTTTTCCCACCTCACTTCGTACCTCGCATCCCACGTCCAGATTTCCCCTTTGCACAGTCTTCCTATATAAGCACCTGCCTGCTTCCACTTGTGTTTCCCCCTCTTTCTGCAGAGTTGCCATCTGTCTCATCGTCATCGCTTTGTTCTTTATTTTCCATCAATTGCGGCTTCTTGCCTACCACGATCACTGATCTGCTGGTGACCCATTTTAACTACAAGGTTGCTAACTTCCATTCCCCAAAACACAGCCGACTCGGGAAACACACATAGAACGGTAAGAATGTGGAAATAGACGAGGGCTGTGTCCGACGTCACGCTGTGGTTGGATTTTGGCATACTATTACGTTCCCGCTCAGGCTTGCCTTCTACGAGACTTGCCACGGACGCATAAGCCTCCTGAGTATGGCTAACTGTGCATGGCAGCGCGAACGCTCTCGTTCACCCCATCGTGGTCGATCCCGGAGCCCCGGCCGTTCTACAGGTGGCCACCGTCGATCTTTCTCACCACGTAACAACCGCTCTCGTAGCCCAAATTATCGTCGAACATCGAGACGGTCCCGCTCTCCGATGGCCGGACAGGCACCGCCTTCTGGAACACCGCCTGCCGCAAACTACAGTGGCGGAAGCGCTCCTCACCGTTCACAAGATGACCGCACCGCAGCCAGGGACCAAATGTTATCCAATGTTCGCGATAGCTCGCAACAAGACCGCCGTGTCTACGTTGGAAACCTCTCTTATGATGTCAAATGGCACCATTTGAAGGATTTTATGCGGCAGGGTTGGTCTTTTTATACCCCCCCTTCCTCTGCACCCTTCCTTTTAAGGTGGTATGTTGTCTTCTGCTGCTAACTGCCTGTCAACATGAACAGCTGGTGAGGTCCTTTTTGCGGATGTTCTCTTGCTGCCAAACGGAATGTCGAAGGTGGGCGACTACAACGAGTAGTCTTGGCTGGGCTACTTTTCTTCTCCCCCCCCCCTCCCCCCCTTCTCCCCTGAGCTATACCGATTGTTTATGATGGGAACTTGTTGGATTGACGGGTTGGAACGTTGTTCCTTGGGTTATTGTAGGGATGCGGGTACGTCGACACAAAATTCACCCGTTGCATTTTTGATGTCCTCTGTATTTGTTAATCTTCCCACTGACCATGGCACTAGAATTGTGGAATATGCGACCAGGGAGCAGGCGCAGAACGCCGTTGCGACACTTAGCAACCAGAACTTGATGGGCCGTCTCGTTTACGTCCGCGAGGTATGGTAGCAATAGGACCTGACCCGTGTTCCGGGCGATAAAAGCAATCATGACTGCTAACACGCGTAGGACCGCGAGGCTGAACCACGATTCAACCAATCTTCCGGTCCCCGAGGAGGCTATGGTGGCCCAATGGGCCATGTAGGATATGGCGGCAGTCAGATGAATTTCAATGCTGGTGGCGGCGGTAGCAGACAGATTTACGTCGCGAACGTGAGTTGAAGCCCCTTGCATCATCTGCATTGACCGACACTCTTATATGATTCTCTGGGTTTCATCTATCCCTTTCTAACCACATAATTTATAGCTCCCATTCACCGTCGGATGGCAAGACTTGAAAGATCTCTTTCGCCAGGCCGGTACGCGAAAAATCCTTCTGAATATGCGCCAGGGTGTGATAATTATCCTCCAACTAACTTCATTACTTGTCATAGCTCGAATCGCGGGAGTTGCTCGAGCCGATATCAATATTGGCCCCGATGGCAGATCCAAGGGATCGGGTATTGTCGTTTTTGAAAGCCCCGACGATGCCCGCAATGCTATCCAGCAGTTCAACGGATTCGATTGGCAAGGCCGCATTCTGGAAGTCCGCGAAGATCGGTTTGCTCACGCTGGTGGCTTCCCCGGCCGCGGTGGATTCGGCCGCGGTGGATTCGGTGGAGGCTTCGGCGGCCGTGGTGGCATGGGTGGCCGCGGCGGCTTTAGCAGCTTCGGTGGCCGTGGCGGTTATGGTGGTGCCGGGGGCGGCTTCGATTCCGGCGCTGGCAATTCCGGAGGCGGTGGGCATGGCAGTGGCCCTGCTCTTACCCCTAACCCTTTCACCGACTATGCCACCTCCGGCACTGAACGCAGCCAGATCATTTTCGTCAGAAATGTAAGCCACTAACTTCACTTCTTGAAGGCGTCTACTTTCTATTCATCGCAGCACTAATGTCTAACTCGTTATTTGCAGCTTCCTTGGTCTACAAGCAACGAAGACCTGGTCGAGTTATTCACCACGATTGGTAAAGTCGAGCAGGCAGAGATCCAGTACGAGCCCAGTGGTCGTTCACGTGGCTCTGGCGTTGTCCGCTTTGACACTGCTGATACAGCAGAGACGGCTATTGCGAAGTTCCAGGGATATCAGTACGGCGGTCGTCCTCTTGGCCTGGGTTTTGTCAAATACCTAACTCCTGGAGCACCCACCGATAACATGGATACGGACGCCCATGGTGGATTGACTCAGGATCAGATTATGTGACGCTCACCGTTGTCACATTGATGCCATTTGCCTAGCTTATCATGAAATCCTGTTTGTGTGGTCCTTTGCCACAAAGCCATGCAGTATTGTTTTTTTTGTACCATTCGTCCGTTCGACATCAGTCGTCCAGTTTGCTTTTATCTCTCTCTATTTCAGTTTATTCTTTTACCTTTCTTACTCACTTCCATCGCACTGGCATTGTACATGCCCACCTTATATTTTCTTCTCTCGTTTTCGTTTTTCGTTTTTCGTTTTGTCGCCATAACAATTAACGAGCGTGTGGCTTATATTGGGACTGAATCGTACCGAGTCTTTCCGGTCGTCTGTTGTCTGTCTCAACTATTTATTGCTCAATTTGTAACACCTATCTTTATACACTTTCGAGTCTGGCCAAAAAGTGATTGGCTATTTGTTGCCAAAAGTGCATGACTAAACTAGGATATATTTATGGTCTGCACATCGAGGAGTATGGTTATCAAAGGTCAAAAGGATGCCTTCTACGTCTCGTCCAGTCTTATTACTAGATGTACCATTGTGGCCTCAGGTTTCAAGGTAGGGAAGCTTGGGAAGTGCAAACGCTTTCCCGGACTACGGCTCCAAGAATAGTTATGAGGGCCTTTCCGGCAAGACTGTCTTGATCGAAAAGGGATGCGTACCTTGCGCAGGGTCGTGAATAGTACTCATTCATATTCATATTCATATTCATGTTCTGACTTTTATAAAGCTGTACAAAATTCATTTAAGATCCGCTTTTACATGGCCAAGTATGGCGGTGTCAGCGACATTGGACATATGGCTCATTGCCTGCAATAGTAAAAGGCCAGACTGCCGTCAAATCGTCCGCAGTGCCTTTAAAATGAAAATGTTGACAGAGAAACTTTTTGTTCGAGTTGGCGACACAGTTGATAACCGTCAGTCAGATAAGCGTACCACCGTGTATCCTCCGTACATATCAAAAGATGTGCTTGTATTCGATCATGGGCCCGGTGTCGTTGTGGTAGACTTCTTCTTCTTCGCCTTGGCCTTTTTCTTGCTTTTATCGCGCGGTTTTAAAAGCGTCATCCCAGCCTTGCACGTCTCCGCGTAGCGCGCGTAGAAGCCTGTCAGTGCATCCGGTGCTACTGTTGTCGTTAACCGAATCTTTTCCTTGCGGTGCTTCTTGGACTTGCCGTTGGTTGCGCGAATAATAAGTGCTTGTGGCTCCAAAATCCAGTTGTCTGAGTTGTCATCCGCATCGGTTCCCAAAGCGTCCTTTTCACCGCGCACCACTGGGTTAGAAAGCCGTTAGCAGTTGAAATGCCTTGCACATAGTACATAAGCCAAAAAGGAGAGAATTTAAAGAGTGAGCGTCCACGTACGTCGTCTCTGGCTCAGGTATATTGCGCCATGATCTTTGCCCTTTTGTGTGTGAAAAAGTTCGGCGAGCCGAGAAAAAAACTGTGTCACTTTACTTAGTGCCTGCATAAACATAAGATCTGTTGGAGTACCGTTCCAGGGAGACATACTTCGTCGTTGGTAAGATGATGCATGGCTAAAAGGCGGCGATACGGAATAAAACTTGGCTGTTGTAGGTGATTCTGATAATTTGAGGTTTTGGTGTGCCCGAGGTTCAAAGACGCCACGAGAAAATGAAAACGGCGTTATTAGTCATTCAGGCAAGGCTGAAATTTCAAGGCTATTCATTTTGTGGGTCCGCCCGTGACCTACGACCGAACTAGAATCTTGCTTCCGTTCAAATTCAAATTCAAATTCAAATTCAAAAAAAAAAAAAAAAAAAAAAAAACAAATTTTCATTCTGCAAACACACTAAGCAACACCGGCCATCGAAGAAGGAAGAGAATATACACAACGGCAGTCTGGTCCCACCTGTTTCCACTCCTTGATAAACCAACATTGGTGATACTGGACACTGCTTTCCAAGCACACGACAACATCCGAGTTCGAAATAGGCCTTCTAAAGGCTTTACGCAGACAAAGTTCGCATATGGCACCTTTCAGAAACACCGGGCCATCTTTGTCCAGTGGACTCCTCAGACAGCTTGGTGTGCATACGCAAGATCCACTCAGTCGCGGCCGGCGAAATGCCATGCGCACAAGACAACGGAAGGGTATTGCGACAGATTGCCCGCAACGGCGTGAGTCGAACCAGACAACACACACGTCTCGGAATTCCCGAACCCCCAACCGACAGCAGGCCACTGGTATCGACAAGACACTGCCCAATGAAACGGGGAATAGCCAAAACCAGTCGGAATTTGTCAACCAAGAATTAAATGATGATTCAATCGACGAAAACAACTTTGATGGTTTCGATATTGCTGAAAAGGGTGATGCTCTGAACAATGAGACTTCCGAGGAGGGGAATGATGGCGGCGCCAGTTCTCCTAACCTGGGCACTGCCACCCCGGCAAGAGCCTCTAGGCGCATGCGTGAGCAACTGGAGAAGGACGACGCTGATATTGCAGAGCTTGAGCGCAAGCTAGGCTTGAAGGGGCGGAAAACCCTTCCTCAGACATTCAAAGACGATGGCCTTGGGGACTTGCTAAAGTCTCTTGGAGAATCCGAAGACAAGAACGTTGAGGCAACCCTGAAAAATAAACGGAAGAACGAAGCAGAAGAATGGCTTCAAGCGAAACGACAAAAGGCGATGGGACAAAACGCCGACGCTCATCATAGTAGCGACGGGGACGACAACGACAGCAACGACGATGACGACGATGACGGTATTTTTGGAGTCTCGGACGAAGAAACAAGGTGCTCTATCGTTGTTGATTCAGGGAGTGGGGGCGATCAAACAACGCGAACATCGAAACGGGTCAGAGAAAATCCTTATGTCGCGCCCGCCATATCATTGCCGTCGTCGCAGAAATACATCCCTCCGGCCCTCCGAAGAACTGAACGAGCGACGAACTCCGAATCCGAACGCGTTACTCGGGTGCGGCGACAAGCGCACCACTTGATTGCTCGCCTGTCAGATGCCAACTTGTTAGCCATTCTTGGAGAAGTCGAGAAACTCTATCTCGAGAGCCCACGACAATTTGTAACGGAAGCGGTAACTGACAAGCTTCTCGAGCAAATCTATATTGAAAGCGCCCTGTCAAACAATGTTACAGTCTTGATAGCTGGATTTGCATCAGCGGTCTATATGGTCAAGGGGCCTGATTTCGGAGCGAACTTCATCCAGCAAAATGCGACGCTTTTCAAGCAACACTACGATGCTCTGGTCAAAAATGACTCGGGGAACGCAGCAGGCCGCCTGCAACATTCGTGGTCTCCACCGTCCAAGGCAGCCCTTAATCTATTTTCTCTTATGGCCGAGCTCTACAATTTCCGCATGATCGGACCAAACCTTATCTACGACTACATTCGCATGTTGCTTGCGAACCTCAACGAAACAAGCGCCGAGATGCTACTAAAGGTGTTTGAAATAAGCGGTCACCGTCTTCATCAAGACGACCCTAGAGCACTCAAAGACATTGTGGCTCTCATCCAGCCTGCAGTTGTGCGTTCTGGGGGCGAAGACGCCCTTTCCGTTCGCACATGGCATATGATTGATAGAATAAGCGATATCAAGAAGGGCGACAAGAAGAAGCAACGTGATAAAGAAGGCAGTGGCTTTGGCCATGCAGAAAGGATACGAAAGGTGTTGGGTGGTCTACCCACGTCGAGAAAACTAGAGGCGACCGGACCGTTGCGCGTCAGCTTGTCCGACATTGAGCAGGTGGGCAGGCGCGGCAAGTGGTGGTTAGTTGGAGCAAGCTGGGCCGGCCGTGACGAACAACCAGAAGGTCAACACTCTGGGATCACCAAAGTACCTGACGCTAACGACAAGCCGCTGACACGGCAAGGCACCGGCCGACTTGCTTCCATAGAGCCGGGCGAAGATGACATTTTGGGCTCCTGGGGTGATGATATCGCCGATGTAGAAGAGCTCGATTTGCTGGCGAGAGAGCAGGGTATGAATACCGATGCAAGACGATCCATCTTCATCACCCTTCTCTCAGCGACCGACAGTAAAGATGCGCAAGCCCGGCTCCTAAGACTCGGGTTGAATAAGTTCGAGAAGCGAGAGGTGCCCAATGTGCTTCTCCGGTGTGTCGGGTCCGAAAAGCACTTTAATCGCTACTACGCACTTGTGGCACGGCAGGTATGCGGCGCCGATAGGAGAATGGCATGGGTATTTCAAGCAAGCGTCTGGAAGCTGTTTCGGCGGATGGGCGAGCCCATGTTTGGCGAAGAAGCGGAAGACGACGAGGCGGACGAGGATGACGAGGCAACAGACATGCGTCGAATCGTCAACACGGCAAAATTGTGCGGTTTTCTGGTAGCAAGTGGAAACCTCGGCCTAGATATCTTGAAATGCCTCAGCCTGGTCCGGTTGCAGGCGAAGACACGGGCGTTTGTTGAGGTGATGCTGCTGACTTTTTTTGAAGAGGCACACAGCACGAGCAGGGTTGGGAAGGCTGGAGGCAACAGTGGTGCCGTCATCCGCAAGCGGTTCCAGGCCGCCAGCGTCACGGACGACCTTCGCCGCGGGCTACAGTACTTTATCGACATGGTGGTCCGACGATCAAAACTAGTTGAAAAGCACCAGGAGGATCGCATCGCCAAGTTGTGTGACCGGGCGCAGAAGGCGTTGCGAGATCCTCGAGGCTCATGAGCTTGTATGTCGCCCTTTTGTTCGTGGTCAAAAAGCTGCCCCGAAAAACAGGCCGGGGCGTAGACCCTTATACACAGAGACAACGAGAACAAAAGTAATTGCAAATATGCAAGAGCTCATAACGAACAATCCAAATCAGCATCTGTCATAATTACGCGACTTCGTTTGCAGCTGTGCTACACGCACAGTAGACAATCAGACATTGTATAGAAAGGTTCCTGAGCCGCAAAATGGAACTTAAATGCGTGAGATAACATGGGCGCCTCCGGTGTAACACGTCGTCAGAAAAGAAGCCGTGACGGTTACCGTCGCCTTAAGTGTCAGAAAAGGCGGGTCCTGCACGCCTCACATTTCAGGCACCTAGCACTTAATTGTGTCACTAAAGACGCACCTCCCAGTAGCGCCGGGTCAACAAAAAGCGAACCAGAAGACCAAAAACCCAAATTTGTTTTCCGAAGCCTTGGGCAAGCAGCTTCTTGTTTTGTTGCCCGTTATCCGAAAGCTCCCGTAACCCGTCTTCATCACCACCACCAAACTCGCTCTATCCCCCATCGACATAAATTGTGTCAATCATACGAATATCCGCGCCTATTATTCATTTGGCACTAATTCACTTCATCCTACTCTGTCCACACCTACAGCCGAAGATGATGTCGTCTTGTTTAATATCGCGGACTGTTGTCCGGTCAGCTGTCCGAAAACAGTCACCGTGAGTTATCTGGCACAGTGCCCACCCTCGTTGGGCTCCCTACATTATATTGATCTCATACTAATGGCGTCTCTCTCTATTTTTTTAACTTCTCCTACTTCGCAGTTTCTTAACCATTGTTGCATCGACATCGCCGATTTCCCGATGGAGCCGTGGCTTCGCGTCTGAGGCCGGCGAGGAGAAGGATCTTGTCGTCATCGGCGGTGGCGTGGCTGGCTACGTTGCTGCTATCAAGGCCGGCCAGGAAGGATTCAAGGTGGCTTGCATCGAAAAGCGCGGATCCCTTGGCGGTACCTGTTTGAACGTCGGCTGCATCCCGTCGAAATCATTGCTCAACAATTCCCACCTCTACCACCAGATCCTTCACGACAGCAAGAGCCGCGGCATTGAGGTCGGCGACGTCAAGCTGAACTTGCCCCAGCTGATGAAGGCCAAAGAGCAGTCCGTGTCAGGACTCACCAAAGGCATTGAGTTTCTCTTCAAGAAAAATGGCGTTGAATACGTCAAAGGAAGCGGCTCGTTTGTTGACGAGCATACAGTCAAGGTTGATCTTAACGACGGCGGGGAGACGACATTGAAGGGCAAGAACATTATCATTGCCACTGGCAGTGAAGCCACACCGTTCCCCAGTCTGGATATTGATGAGAAGCGCGTCGTCACTAGCACTGGCGCGTTGTCGCTTGAAAAGGTGCCAGAGTCTCTGGTCGTGATTGGTGGTGGCATTATCGGCCTGGAGATGGCCTCGGTGTGGTCTCGCCTGGGCGCCAAGGTGACAGTGGTTGAATTCCTCGGTCAGATTGGTGGGCCTGGTATGGACACAGAGATTTCGAAGACTGCACAGAAGATCCTGAAGAAACAGGGCATCGATTTCAAGCTCAACACGAAGGTTGTCAGTGGCGATACGAGTGGCGACAAGATCAAGCTGGAGGTTGATGCTGCCAAAGGCGGCAAGCCCGAGACGGTACGTTGTGTTGTGTTAGCCACTTGTTTTGTCTCCCACTCTCTCCTTTCACTGTCTCTCATCAGATGTGCTGACACTCTTGCTTATTTAGCTGGAAGGCGAGGTTGTCCTGGTGGCCATCGGACGTCGTCCCTACACCGAGGGCCTGGGGCTGGAGAACATTGGCCTGGATGTTGATGAGCGCGGACGTGTTGTCATTGACTCGGAATACCGCACAAAACATTCGCACATTCGGTGCGTGGGTGACGTGACTTTCGGTCCTATGCTTGCGCACAAGGCTGAGGACGAGGGCCTTGCTGTCGTGGAATATCTGAAGAAGGGCTACGGCCACGTCAACTACGGCTGTATCCCTTCAGTGATGTTCACGCACCCTGAGGTGGCTTGGGTGGGTCAGACGGAGCAAGACCTGAAGGCACAGAACGTCGCGTACAAAGTCGGCACGTTCCCGTTCTCTGCCAACTCCCGCGCCAAGACCAACGCCGATTCCGAGGGTATCGTGAAGGTCATTGCCGATGCGGAGACGGACAGGCTGCTAGGTGTGCACATCGTGGGCCCTGGCGCTGGTGAGATGATTGCCGAGGGCACGCTGGCTTTAGAGTATGGTGCGTCGAGTGAGGATATTGCGCGTACGACGCATGCGCACCCCACGCTTGCAGAGGCGCTCAAGGAGGCGGCCATGGCGACCTACAACCGCGCCATTCACTTCTAGATGATTATGGAGCATCGGGCCACCGGCCGTGGGCCGTGTGTTGTGTGCGAGTCTGGAAGTGAGTCGAAGCTATAGCAAGTCGTGCTGGTATAGAAATGGCGCGCTATATAGGGGCTAGGAAAAATAGGGCTGTTTCGGGGCGAACAATCAAGGTGCAGCTCTGAGAAACTTCAGCTATACCAAGCGCTGCGATAGCAAAAACATCAACGGTGAGGCGATAAAGGGAAATAGTCGCAGCAGTCGTGGGATTGGAGCCTCGTGTATATTTTGGCTTTGGTTTTGTTTTAGTTTTGCTTGATTCGTTGTCAATAGCTCCAGACAGCCTACTTGGCGTATATCAATGTTTCTAACGCTGCCAACTCGCGGATCTCCGTCGGGATATTTGGTGACAAGGGTCCATTTGTTGAGGGTCCACCTCCAACGCATTGAGGCGATTATGAACGCTGCGCTGGACTTATCGGGGAACGCGATAGAGCTGAATTGCTTCGAACTTGTTACTACCTGGTAGCTATAAGTCAGTTTACTATTAAAGCTGTCTTGAGGCAGCAAGTCCACTTGTGTCGCCTTTCGTCTGTGGCACCGGCTGGCTTCTTGTGCTTGCTTTCCACTTGTTCCAAGATTTGACGACTCTGTATTTCTCTATGGCAACGTTACGACCTCGGCGACAGCTCTCTACCATCCTACTCTAATGTCGGGCCTTGCGGGATCGAAGCGCTCGGACAACTGCGGCGCTGAACTTTTGCGCAGACTTCGCAACCATCTGCAGATTCTCCTTTTGCCAGGCTAGCCAATCACGTTGTCGCAGCCTACGACTTATGATTTTGTCTGTGTTTTTTGAACGTTGTAAAATCCCGTCGGCTAATCGGGGGTTGTGTCGAGATCGGTTTAATCACTCATTGGCATTTATTCGTTGGTCATGGACGAAACATCTCGTTCGTAGAGTGAGAATGCAGGGATACTGCTGCGTAACATCAATGGTCATGCCACCGCAATGCCGTGGCACTCTGTCGGATATACGAACGGAGGTTTCGCGTATAAGCGCGGGGAATGCAATTGAACAACGAACAAGAAAAGGTTCATATGCAAACTAAATAGTAGAAAAGCACAAAAAGAGGCATCTGATTTTGCCCAAACAGGGGAGCAGCGGGTGGCGCTGGAGTGGACCGAGCGGTCTACGGAGTACTCCCCATGCCAAGAGGTGAAAAAAGGCGAGAAATTGGGACACCGGAGCATGCGGTGGCGTTGACGAGACACGGAGCAGGAGGGAACTTCAGTCGCGAAACCGGGGACGCGGCGTTTACGTAATAATGCAGGCGGCAAGAGAGCATCTAACAAGTGTCATACTCACCTATAGCGCCTGTAATATACGGCGTGTTACGGCTACGGCGAGCGCTGCACCTGTGATCGTGACAGTGCAGATACGACCAGCCGCCGTGGCGTTGTTGTAGAGACGACCAGATGTGCATCACCTTCCCGAAAAATACGTTTGTCAACAAGTTCATAGTAGTGACGGTATTAACGGCGTGCATGCGCTTTAAATCAATCCGGCACTCGCGTGTCTCCGAAATGGCTCCGACATCACTGGCAGCACACTGAGAAGCGGCTTTTTTTGGTCTATCTCGCCCGAGACGCCATCGGCCGCCCAAGGGTCTAGTGAACAACAAACGTTGGCCTGCTGGTCACAGAGACGAGCTGTAGTTTGCCCTCGTCCTACGATAAAGAAACGGGGCAATACTCTTTCACGGGCAGGTCCACTCCACTGTCGCTCGGTGGCATGGCCTCACGCCGCCAATCGGACACACTGTGGTGGGTGCCTGTCTGGGCCGAGCCACTGAGGCTAGCGCTCTATTTTCAGCCATCTTTCTCGTGGTCAGAAAACTCATCCGCACTTGTGTAGTTTTCAATTGTATCGCATTTAGCTCCTGTTCGTCCCAAGCCGTCTTCCAGGTACAGAGTATCTTATGCCGATTACGTAGGTCCCATCTTCCCGCTATGAAGAAGTATGAGGACAAAACGAGAAAAGACGAAAGAAGAAACCAAAACAAAACCAAACAGCAAGATCTGATGCGATATCAAAAGCCTAAGACTGGCAACATTCAGAAAGGAAGAAGAACAGACACGAAAAGACAAGAGAAGGCGACAACTTACCCTCGGCCTGTTTGTTAGACCCTAATGCAGTAGTACTCAGAGTAGTAATTACTGCCTGGAACTTTCAGCTCAAAACATTCTGTGAAACTTCCGACGAAAAAAAAAAAAAAAAAAAAANAAAAAAAAGGAAGAAACCAACCCCCCCCCCTCCTTCCTCAAAAGTCCTTTCCAGCGCCCAAGTCCATTTTTGGTGAAAATTCGATTCTCTTTGGCAATTACAACCAATTGCTGGCATCCCCCTACCCCCGTCTCTCGCGCCTTATTTCCTTGAATCGCAAACGGAGTACGCATCCAACCCCCGGTCTGAACTGTCTTCAATTTTTCCATACTATCTTGAGCCTACCTTTGTTCCACTGCCGTCCGTGAGAATAGCTGCACCCTGCAAATAGTAGGACTGCCCGATCCTGGAGCTGATCCGATATCCGCTCCTCCGTGCAACCGACTCCCCAATCTTGCGGCAACATTTCGCAGCGCCCAGAGCATTGCTTCCACGATCCGATCCGCTAGGCCAACACGACGCATTACCGGGGCGCGACACCACGGCCACGATTACCAGAGCCTCAAGAGCCGACCACGAGGCAGAACATCACGACCCACCATCGTCGCCTGCAGTTTTCAACCAACCTCCGCAAAACCCCAAAACCTTTATATTTCTGCCGTCGCAACCTTCTCCCCCTCTTATCTGATCAGACAGCCTCTGTCGGCCGACATCACCAACAAGCGTGCTTCGATACTGACGCGCTGCATATCCGCACACGGCCCTAATAAACGCCGCCCAGCGCTCGCAGAATAAAACTGGTGGACTGAGGCAAGGACGCAGACGCTAGAAGAGACGACTCGCCAAGCTCGTCGTTTCTTTGCTCTCTGCCTCTCCCCTCCGCCCCGGCCCGCCCAGGACGATCGCCACACTGGCTCTTCAAGACAAGACCCTGGGCGGCACGTCTGCTGCTGTGGCCCAGATGACTCAGCCAGGTGCCGAGCCTGTCGAGGATGTCGATGATTACGAGTGCGTTTGCTTGAGAGTCATGCACACTCCCTCACTTGTTGCTGCAATGCTTGCTAACGTCCTTCCTTCAAACTCTGCAGCTATGAATCCCTGCCACCTAACTTCTCCCTTGTCCAGAACATGGCGGCAGGAGCGTTTGCTGGTATTGCCGTGAGTAGAAGTCGAGCAGAACAACTGCGCCAGATTGCCGAGCTTGACTGCATCCTGGCACTCAATCCAGCCTCTGGATACTGACCAGGAGCCACAGGAACACACAGTCATGTACCCAATTGATGCGATCAAGGTAAATAGACAGTGCCCGCTACCCTGCGGCACACCCCCCTTCATAGTTTCCCATCACGACGCATTTCTCAGACTAATCGTTTTGTCCCCCTTCTCCAGACACGCATGCAGGTTATAAGCCCCAGCGGTGGCCCCGCCTATACCAGCCTGATACAGAGCACTTACCGCATGGCCGTTGGCGAAGGTATCTCGAGCCTATGGCGGGGCATGTCCAGCGTAGTCGTCGGGGCCGGCCCAGCTCATGCCGTTTACTTTGCGACGTACGAGGCTGTCAAGCATGTCATGGGTGGCAATAAAGTCGGCACACACCACCCTCTAGCTGCCGGTTAGTGCTGTCCCTTTAATGCACGTCCACCCTTTTTTTCGGTATACATGCCAGAGCAGTCATTTGCCTGTGCGAACTGAGCCATGTTCTTACCATTGGATAAGGGCCCAAAAGCTGACTTGGATAGCAACGAGCGGAGCGTGTGCTACTATTGCCAGCGATGCCCTGATGAACCCATTCGACGGTAAGACTCTTCAGGCGTAAGCCGCTGCCTTCTTTGGCCAGCTATGGGGAAGCACTCCAAGAGGCGCTCATAAGTTGCTAATGTACGTTGCTGCAGTCATCAAACAGCGTATGCAAATAGAGGGGTCGGGCAAAATGTATCGCTCAATGCTGGACTGTGCAAAATACGTCTATCGGAACGAGGGTATTGCCGCCTTTTACGTCTCTTACCCCACAACACTCTCCATGACCGTTCCGTTTACCGCGCTCCAATTTCTTGCCTACGAGTCTATCTCCACCGCTATGAACCCTAGCAAGAAGTACGACCCTGTGACGCACTGCTTTGCAGGCGCTATTGCCGGCGGGGTTGCAGCCGGCCTCACGACACCGATGGACGTAATCAAGACTATGCTGCAGACCCGCGGTAGCGCCGGTGACCCCGAGCTACGCAGCGTAAACAGCTTTATGGCCGGTTGCCGACTTCTCCACGCGCGGGAGGGACTCCGTGGGTTTTTTAAAGGTGTTCGACCCAGGGTTGTGACCACAATGCCGAGCACCGCCATCTGCTGGTCTGCGTACGAAGCTTCCAAGTATGTCTATATTCGCCCTTTAGCTGCGTCTTCTTGTCATATGCTCGTATTCCCGTGCGAGCCCAGGGAGCAGGGTGCCACCTGCTCGGCAATTCAAATACATGACTTGCTAATCCATACGTAGGGCGTATTTTATTCGCAGAAATAGTTCGGGGCAGTAAAACCGATAAAGGCTCCAGGAATCCAGGTCACAGGATCCAGCCCCAGGCCTATGGCTATTTGTTACTGTCGCCACAGGGGAAAGGCATAGAAATCTTTGGACGATATCTACACATTTATACATTTACGGATTCAGTCTACCTTGTAGGTTTTTTTAATCTGTCCAAATAAGTAGGTCGTCTTGTGCCAGGACTGATACTTCGTGTGAAGGAAGCTGAAAAAAACTTCAAGAGTGGCAGTAAAGCGGCAAGCAAGTCCACGGTGTGTTTACATACATAGTGGGGAGTTGTGACAGCATCTTGTTATATTTTATATGCATGTGTTTGTCTACAACCATATGGGCCATATCAAAGTCTCACAGCTTTGGTTCCTCGGCGAGGGGTGGAAGCGACGACTGGATTTAATCTTTGTATCATATAATCTCGGTAGTAGATTTGCGACTGCCACACTTTAGTATTTGAAATAGTTCTTTGCACCCATCACCTTGTGTGATCTCGCTTTTTACAGAAAACATAAATATAAAATTATACATACGAGCACAGCCTCAGATCCGTCCTTCGCACCTCGACTCCGATTCGAGGTCATGTAAATATGCAACTTGAAACGGCGATGAAATAAACAACGTTGTCAAATAAGCAGAAAGCCACAGTTGTTTATTTTACTTCATTAAAAGGAAATTTTAAAAAAGAAGGATTAACTAAAAAGGACCACATATCGGGGTAGAATACGAAGGAATATTCAGTTAAAGAGGCTCATACACGTCCGCCCCTCCTCCAAATTTCTTTTTGTTAAAAAAAAAACATCAAATAAAACACAAGATGTGTGGTGTAAAATTTCAGTCGGCTTATTTCCCAAACGGAAACCCGCCGCCGCCGCCGCCAGATCCGAATTGGAATTTAAATTGCTGCCCACCACCCTGTTGGAACATAAACTGCTGTCCACCAAAGGGACTGCCCTGGAACGGGTTCTGCTGCCCCTTAGAATTCGGGTCGTCGCCTCGGTCGAAACGCGCACGAAGCTCAGGGTCACTCAGGACTTCGTAAGCCTCGTTAATTTCGGCCATTTTCTTCTCTGCGGCTTCTTTCGTCAAGCCCTGCTTAGCTGCCTTATCGGGGTGGTGAAGCTTAGAAAGCCTGCGGTAGGCTGCTTTGATCTGTCTGTCATCGGCATCACGTGCCACACCTATAACTTTATAATAGTCCTTGATCTTGCTCCGCCTCAGCAGGACGTCGGCCTCGTTGACCAGCGTGTTGATATAATCGGACTCGTCGACATGAGCCTCCTTGGCCTTCTTCAGTGTCTCTATAGCCGCTTCATATTGTTCAGCGTCCAGCTGCACCTTATATTGGTGCAATAGGCCATATAGGGAGTGCCCGTCATAACGAAGCGCATCCTCACACCAGGAGGGGGCCTTTTTGCTTTTCATCTGTCTTGCATTAGTCTCTGTCATAACATGAAATGGCACCCGGGATACTCAAGACGGAGAAGGGAGAGCGTGCCTTGTAGTAACCTTCGCAAGCCATACCCGTCAGCCTAGAAATAAGATCGTTAGGCCCTGCTGCAGGAAGAATGTCTTGCTTGCGCAGGATGGAAATCTGATCCTTGACTTCTTGGAGAAGGCCTGGGTTGTCGCCATTTGGGATAAGCTGCATGGTCCCCGTCGAGGGCTGATCCTTCAAGAAAGCCTTTTCAATTTTCGCTAAAGTCTTTTCGACTGCTTTCTCCTGCCGCAGTAAAGCCCTGCAAGGTTTGGAATCCGGGTCAGACTGCAAGCACTTGCGCACATGCGACATGCCTTTCTCAAGGTCACCGAGGGCGTAAAAGTTAATGGCTGAGATAACAAGGAATGGCGAGACATCGCCCGGCTTCAAATGAAGCACATGCTGTAGATCGCCAACGCCCTCCTCAACCTCACCCCGGGCAAACCGGCAGTGGGCGCGAATGCGTCGTAAAGAAGCAGCCCTCGTCGCCACCATGATCGCCATGCTGGCTTGGTTAACACACTCCTCCCAGTCGCTCTTCGCTTCCGCCGCCTCCGCCGCCCAAGCAGCATTTTCGGCGTCGTCCACAGCAGCCAAAAGTTCCGCAGCATCTGGTGCATCTTTGGCTCGCCTCAATTGGTCGCGGGCCCCGTTCCAGTCAGCCACACGTTGCTTGATCTTCCCCAATTGAACATGAGCAGCCTCAAACCCAGGTCGTATAGACAAGACGGTGTTGAAGTCATCGGTGGCCTGAGGTGCGCGGCCAAGGCTAAGGTAAGTGGTTGCTCGCTTAAAGTACGTAAGGTAGTTTGTTGGATCGCGCGCAATGGCGGCATCGTAGTAAACGAGTGCGTCGCCCGTCTCGCCCCGGGAAAGATGGTTCTGAGCGGATGCAAGAAGAGAGGTCACAGGCGTATCTGCCGGGATGTCATCTGCTGTCAGGGCTGATACAGCACACACCGCGAGTGCTATTGCCGAAATCTTGATAATCATTGTGACGTGTCGTGTCGGCAGCTAGGTAATGCGAGCTGTGTGAAGCATATCTGGGGTTGTGGGAGAGAATAGCCAGCTGCTCTGGGTCAAGCACAGGCGGCAGGCGACCGTATTTAGTGGTGGAGGGATATCGGTTTGAAGTAGCAGTTGGCTAAGTAGTTATCCAGGAATTGCCCGGGCATTTGACAATGGCTTCTTTCTTTGTCAGTTTCCCTCAGGACAATTTTGAGGGTAGAAGACTGGCTCAGGACTGAAGCGAGCGCGGCACAAATTTCTTACTTGCCTCACATTTCCATCTGTCGTTGAAGCCAATTATGTAGCCTTACTGGTTGGCATGTTACAGTAGGCAACCTGGCCTTTTCGAGGGCCAGGTCGAATAGTCAGCACGGAGGCCCCTAATAAGTTGTGGGAGTACAATACACGTACTCGGTAACTGGCCAATAAGGAGTCTCTGCGTAACTGGCGGACTTACTTAGCATTAAACAATGCCTTGGAAATGCATTTATCGAGATGAGATTTTTGAATGCTATTAAAATAAGCCATATAGGCGTGCTAATATCTCCAAATATATCAGCATGATTTGCGTTCCTTGACATATAGGACTCCGAGAGACTCTAGAACCCGACTGGTACAATTCGTGCCTTCCAAACAAACTGCTATACCAACAAATTGGAGGCCGAGCAGCATGGCACACATACCAACATCCGCTGCCATTTTTTCTCCATCTGTCGCCCGTCTCGCCTCCTCTGCAGCCAAAGACTGGAATTATGTAGACAGCTGGCTGTCATCCATATTTCCCAACCGTTCACCTCCACCCTTTGAGCGCAATTCAGAGACGCTGAGGGCCCTCGTCACACTCTCAACTTTGAATGAAAGCGTCGATGAAGACTTCGGCCACGTTTCGAGCCTTGAAACGTTGGCGCTGCGGACGCTTTCCAAAGCCGAAGAATATGGCAACAGCGAACCAAAGGCCGTACATATGTCTCCGGTGTATGCGGCAGGTAGAATTGTTGCGGCTATTGAGAGCGAACTGTCGCGTGAAGGGCACTTGGCGTTTGATGCACTAGCTGCCACATCCGTCGAGCTTGGAGTTGCTATCCCAGTACCGACAGGAACAGGCCGTGAATTTGCTCACCTGGACATGTACCTATTCCAGCTCGAGCAGGCTCTTTCGCGAACGGAGGTCCTTCATGCGCACGTTGGTGACCATTCCTCAAGGTTACGGAGCCGTTTTGATGACCACGAGCGCGATGGATACAGGCCGTCGGCACCCCTGGCGAGACAAAACCTAGAGCTGCAACGCAAAATAAAAACAGAAACCTCGCGTCTCCAAGACATAAAAGACGCGCCCAGTGTCCAAGCCCAGCTTTCAAAACCCACGACTCTACAGCTCGAAGACGACGAGACGATATTTTTGAAACTCTCGGAATACGACGAAGCTCTTTGCAAGCAAATCAACGCCTTTAGAAATCTCCCTCCTGATACGGAGCTTGCCAAGCAGCAACTCGAGATACTCCAGTCAGAGCTGCAAGCTGCTACGCAAATACGTGACAATATGTTTGAAGGCTTGGTCGAGAAAGCCACGCCTAAACGTTCAAGATGAACCACCGCTCACATGTCTTGTGTGCAGCGATTTGGATTTGTTTGCCACGGTCACCGTGTGGCCTCTCTGCGACACACGTTGCTTTTCTCCTTGATCACTTTGTGTAATTCCTATTGCTCCCAGGGCAAACCACGCCTATGTGTTGCCGGTTCACTCAGTGACCACGTTTCACTCTACCAGACACGGCACCGCCAAACCTCCCGAGCTGCTTCCCAAGGGTTGATTTTGCCTTGGTTGGGGGCCCTGGTTGCACAGAGGTATCCTTGACCGGAACCGGAGGCCCTCCAGCAACAGTCCTGGCCGCCGGGCCTATATCCCGAGAATTTTTGTGCTCCAGAGCGCCAACGCCATCGCTGATTCGAAAATCGGGTCCCAGCCCGAAAGGCAAGCTATCGTCGACGGGTTCTGTCGTGTGGCCACTCAACGCTCTCTGCGACCGGCGTGCACGTTCTTGGACGGTCCGAAACTTTTCCAATAGCTCTCCCCATCGGATGATGCCATCTTCTCTTCCTTTGAGTCTATTCGGCCGATCAAAGTTTGGCCCACTTGCAGGTGTGCTAGTTCTACACGGCGAACCGTATGTTAGTTTATGTTTCTTTCGTCTACTTCTGTGGTCGACTCACGGGATGTCAATAAAAACACAGGGATACCTACACTCTCGGAGCAGTGTGCAAATAGCCTATAGAGCTAACACTGTTCAGTCGATTTCGAAGGGCTGCAAACGCAGACGACTGGGGAAGCAGCATTAATAAACCATACAGGCACTTATACAAATGGGGAAACCTGTCCGGCTCAAGTAGTTGCAGCCTCAAATCTGTATAAAAAGGTCAAAATGGCGAACGAACAACTAAACCAGGAACAAAATATAATTGTTTTGTTACATTCCAACTACTAGATCGTACTTACATGTAAAAACCGGTGACTCCAGCAGCTGCACTAATTTGTCGATCTGAATGAGAATGTTCACAGTCATCTCTAATTCAGCACTATGGCAGCATATTAGTTTATTTCTTGTTGCATTGACATATATGCCATCAATCATGTGCAGTATGAAGCACAGGGGGCTTGTCACGGAGGTTCATACAAGATTTGAAGAAGGTTGTAAGCTTGCTCGTAGGCTTGAGCAAGCAAACACAACGAAAACGTGGCCACGGCATTGTAGCACCAGGAGCGGAAAAGAGCGACAAAAAAGGTCTGCCCATCTTTCGTTTCCAAGTTTCGCAAGCGCTTGCGGAGATCAGCCAATTCCGGTGCTGTTAACAGGTTGTTATTGAGATTTTGGACCATGATGCTGGCAAACTCAACATCCTCCTCTCTCTCTATGCAATTGGCAAGGGTCCGGTAGATCCGTTCTGGGCTGAGACTGACGCAAAGCTGGCGTATGATGAGGTTACCTCTCGTCTCTAGCAACTTCCGATCCGTAGAAAACAGCTGTAGAAGATTCACCATAAAGTTCGAAAAGTAGTCATCTTCGCTATTGCGAGATATTTGTGACAGCAGCTGCAAGTCTTTCGTCACAACGGCCTCCGCAGGATCTGAAAGAGTTTTGAGTAAGGCCGGAAACGTCCCGTCATTGAAAGCCAGGACTTTTCTGGGCGCCTTGCGATGCAGCATGATCAACCACGTGAGAGCCGCAACACGCGTCGCCTCGTAATCGTTTAAAAATAGCAGGGTTAGAGAGTTCACAGCAGCGGCATAATCCAGTTCCGGTTGAGGAGACGGTCCCGTTAGAATTTTTTGGTCAGTTGCCGGTGTTGGTGATCTTCTAGCATTAAATGCAGCCGTTGTTGTAGCCGACGCGGCTCTTGTGGGTAGAAGAGATGATGATGCTGGGTTCGTCCCATCGAAATCTCTGGAGATGGACAAGGAAGCTCGGTTGCTGCTCGTATCCGGGCGGTCAACAGCTTGGGCGGGTGTAACATTAGCAGCTCTGAGCGGCAGCGTCGAACTTAATCCGGCCTCCTGGTCGGCAGGGAGAGATACAACGTAGTCTATAAGAGAGTTGTTGACACGAACGGCAGCCTGCCGAATGGTTTCGATTCCGCTTGCCAATGCTGGAAGCAAATGAGCAAGAATCTTGGGGGTAAAAGGTAAGACTTCTTCGGGGCAAATGTCCAAAAACTCGACAATCCAGCGCAGTGACTCTAAGAGGCCATCTTCTCCTACGTTTCAAAGACGAAGAACGTTAATACAATCAGGGTTAAGGGAAGGTGAGGAAGCTGCTTGACAAAATCCATGGAAGAACCGTATAGCATACCCTGGGGTGAGTCCAACGTATCCGTCAAAATTTCCAAGATAGCGCCGTAATGAATATGGACATCCTGGCCAGGCACCCAGTCGTCCTCGCTGTCAACATCAGGTTCGTCGGCATCGTTGTTGTGGTAGTCGTCATCTTCGGCCTCCTCTCCATCATCAGCATCGTCACCATCGGCTCCAGAGCCATCGTTACCTTTACTGCCGACGCTACCGTTCCAAAGAACCGATGCTGGGGCGTTTGTGGCAATGGTGGATGAGTCGGGGCTGTTATGAAAGCCTTTGGCTGGATCCTCCACATGTGCTAGGACACTTCCAGGAGTCTCAGTTTGAACAAACTTGTGCTTATTATCACCCCTCGTCTTGGATTTCCTACTGTCAGCGATGCCTCTCTTAACGCGAGAAATCCTTCGGATTTCGCCCAGAAATTTGTCGAGGCAGGTTTGTGTAGCAATATGCACGTCACGATTCGCGTCGCTCAAAAAAGTCAGCAGGCCGCTAAGAAAATCTGGCAAGTATGCCACCAGTTCCAAGTCAGGGATGGAGTCTAGAAGCACGATCCAGCCGACGAGGAATGTCCGAGTGAAGGGGTTGAGAACGAAGATGCGATCCCTCAGGAGCGGTATGAATCGTTTCAACGAGAAAGCGGTGGGAAGGTCGACATCGTCCTGGTCGAATCCCTTGTCCCCGCTCTCGAAATCGGATGTGACAAGAACTGAGACATACGTGGCAGCCGACTCGGAAACAATATCCTTGACCAAGCGGTCAAGCAACTCGGCACCATTTTTAACCGATAATTCGGAGTCGGCACCAAGCTGTATTTATTGGGAGACCTATCAGTAGGGAGGTAGAGCCAGTGAGAACAATATGAAGCAACGCACCTTGCACAGGGCATCGAAGATGTGGTTAAAATAAATCAAAATCTCGCCCTTGGCAACCTTTGCGATGTTGTACATGGCTTCGCAAGCGTAATAGCGCACGCGAGCATCTTGGTCGACAAAACAGGCCAGCACGGGCGGGACGATGGTTTCCAAGTATCGTGGCAGTTCCTATGAAAGTGGTTAGCCGCAGAGTTTGGGGCGAGAACGCGCAACGTGCTACGGGGAGCTGAAGAGAGAAAGGGGCAAGGGGTCAGGACAAATACGCACTGAGCCAAGGGCTATGGCGGCAGCCGCCAGTCCGATTAGGCCGCCGTTACGGGAGTGCTGGTGGACAGTATACGCATATTCGTTGCATAGTTGGTCGAGGATTGCTTCGACAGTTGCAGTATCTTTGTGAGCAACAAGCTCGCGAATGGAGCGTTCGAGCCTAGCAGAATGGTATATGGTTAGCTACAGGTGGCGCAGAGCAATGCAATGCAATGTGGCTCTCGGGGAAGACGACGGCATTGTAAGGTACGCTTATGTATTGTACATACTCGAGCGCGCCAATCTTGCGTTTCTCGTACAGCTTCTCGTTGAGAGCGCGCTGTATGCTCGGGTCCATGGCAGCGACGACTTTGACGGCGACCGAAACGGCTATGGCAAAGTGTCTGCTTGGTGGATTCGTTGTATTGACGTACAACACATCAACCACACCATAGGATACGATCACTTCGATAGTCGTGTTCAAGAGAAGGAGGGGCGCGTAGGAAGTCGATACGGGCCTAAAACCTTTGTCGGCATCAACAACGTTGCTTGCATTAGGGGCCACGCATGATAAGATCGTGTCAACAAGAAGGCCGGCGCGGTGTATGCGGTTCGTAATCGGGTGGTCCAATCGCTGGCGGACACAGGGCGACACAGAACAGAGTAAGACTAGAAGCAGGAAATGATAGTGTGGAGAAAAGTGGTAGCCATTTGCACTTGCGACGTGATGTCACGTGTAATAAATTTAGCAAGTGGTGCAACATCTATAATAGAGATCGGAATGGCTCTTCAACACCATTATACCAGCCCTGAAAAGATGAATTACAGGCATGGCGGCGATATTATATGTATTTATCCAGCAGGTATGATTTAATACTTCGATAACAACAACGCACATATATCGTACGTCGGTACATAGGATATCGATGCCGACGCTTTAGAAAAAGGCAATCTGATTGGCGATAATAATTTCCCGGTGGTTTACTTAACCATTGTATATGACCGTTGTGACTGTACCTGTCGCCTTGGCGAGGGTATGTCGATTGAAGCCTTTTCTCGCGCTCTCTTTTTCCAGTGAAATTTCTTCTGGGCCGGGAACGGAGCAGTTAACCCCACTGTGCAATGCCAAACATGAGCTTCCCAACCCCCGCGGTGCCTGATTTGAGGCTACTCACCTAGCACACATGTTGTCCTGCGCCGCAGCTCGCTTATCTCACGCTTCAAAGTACAAGCATCGCCTTTTGTCCCACAAACGATTTCAAAGTCTAAGTAAAAGCAGGTATCTGGGTGCCCGGCCTGTGTATCTATATTCGTATTTGGTGGGTAGAGAAACAAACCTTGGGATATCGACAGAAAATAAAAACTCGAACGACCACGCGACGGAATTTACATAATAAACCGACAACAAGGCGCGCAAGACAAACACACCCATAACCCCCCACTTCCGCCTTTATGGCAAGTAGTACACATACTACTTGGAAGTACAGCCGACAGATCGGCGTTCGCACACTTCAGCCCTCCTTCGAAATATGCCATGCTCAGGTGAAGGATTGCAATTCACATTGATTCTCACTTTCGGCTGCTGCACCCTTGCTGGCTTGCTTGTCCAGCGTATTTGGTAATCTGTTGGCTTCCCTTGCTGGATCCTGCGTCCTTGTTTGCCAACGCTGCGATTTGGGCTCGGCGTGCAAACTCATCCTTGCCAACGTCAGCGAAATTACTATGAGTCTCGAGAAGAATAAAGGCAACCCTTTGTTCCAACACATCTAAGGGGGGCAAGGGGTCTCCTAGTTCCACGATACCTTATCACCTCTAGCCTTTCGTATTCTCGCAGCCGCCTCCTCGTCCATTTTGGCTCTCCCCATCCTGCCTAGGATAGGAGACACACAAGCTTCTTGAACCGTTGTGGATGTTGGAGCGTGCACAAACTCGGACTATCCGGAGACAGCTATTTGGAGCAGGCCACCAAAAACAATGTGCCGCGTTATGCACTGCTCAGGTGTCAGTGACCGGCTACAGATGTGTGTTTGCGGAGCAGGGGAACGATAAGACCAGACTGACAGTCAAGCGGCCTCATTCTTGTACAAACGCAGGAATAAAGACAGATTAATGCAGTTCACGGAAGGAGGTACTCTACATGGGCCGTCCGTGGCTTTATATAAACACAGCCTTCACTTATTCTTGTGGTCGGTGGCCAATCTACGGCAAGAGAACAGCATCGGATTACAAACTCACGACGTACGTGGGCTACCCACGATGTCGATGGTGTCCACGAAGTTTGTTTTGTGCAAATTACAGATCAAGCAGGCCCTGCTCTATAAAGTATAAAGCTGTCCGTTTCCTGGTCTGGCTTAAGGGTGTCCAGCGGCTGTGTCTCCAACACCTTACGCATTGTCCCATTTTGTCCCACGCGTCTTACGTACTACGACGAGAAGGACCATCCCAGATTATGTCGTATATGTACATGCACACTGCAGACCAGGGAGTTGGGTGGAGGTCGAAGAGGAAGAAAATAGAGCAAGGACAGGGTGGAAGGATTGGGAATGGATGTCAACCTGTTAAACAACTATGTTGTAGAAAAGGCAGATGACCAGGTTGGACGCAGTCCTTTCCTGTTCAAGCATGCCGGATAATCCACGGTCCCTGTCGATGCGTGTGACGAGCGGAAGGGGAGGTGCTCCGCCATAGGCCCCAAGGTAAGAGCTGTTTTTCGCATCCATTTCGTGGATGGGGTCCTTCGAGAGACTTTCGGAGTGTGTTTTCGGACGAGGCATACCAATAGCAAAGAAGCAAGGGGGCGTGCAAAGGCAAGCTACCTCTGAGTTCTTCAGGAGGAGTGAGAGAGAGAGAGAGAGAGGAAGGGGCGGGGAGGGGGTCCTGAACGACTGGAAATAACAAAACATGCAGATAATACTTTACCTCGTAAAACCAACTGTGCCATATTACTTAGTAATCGTCGATTGGCACACTTGCTTCATGCTTTTTTCCAGTAACCGCCTCGCTGGGCCCGCTCCTTCACGCTTGTGCAAGGTCTAGACGGCACCCTCCGAGGTAAGGTATCCAGAATGGTAATACAACGTAATACCGCACGTCTTAGAACTTATATACCTTCTACTCTACGGAATATTTCTAGCGAGCCACGAGCCTGGACCCGAGGGAAGGGAGCCGAGCACGCCAAAAGAGAGGCACAGGCCAGGCCACACGGGCGATGGGTTTCCACGAAGATGGTGACCGAGGGTGGCAAGAATGCTGCGTGGGCCAATTATCCGTCGTACCGCATGCAAATTATATGTAAGATACGACACGCAGACCTAGCCCCACTTAAACCCTGTCTCTGGTGCAGGCTATGGTAAAGCGTTGAGCATGCATCCTGATAGGTTGCCGCAGCAAGGGTTTGCGTGTAAGACAGAGTACGTGTGTCTTATCAGACGACCACCCATAACCAGTGGGAGTAGAGCTCACCACTTGTGAGAAAATTACCACAAACTTCTGAAACAAAATCCCATATTATCCGCCGGCGTTCTGTCTTTCTGTAGACGAACTTGCACTTAAAACCAGTATTTCACGTGATTATAATTGCAATACAGAGTAAAGTAGCACACTTCGACAACCCGCGACACATCTAACATTTAAAGCATACGTCGTAAACGGTGCACGATACTCAGGAAGAAGGCATTGGCATGTACTTGATTACCGTAAAATATTAACGTTGTACTAACCGACTAGTACCCCAACACAACCCTGAATTAAAAAGCGACAGAGCGGCTAGGTTGAAGACGGCCATCGACTAATTACGGAGTACGTCGTTGTAGGAAAAAAATGCGCCGATAAGCTACTAAGGACCAAACAGTTTTTCAAGACATGTAACTTGTATTTCGTACTATAAATTTATACAGAGCATACTTCCGTAGACAACGTTTCGTATGCTTGGGGTTGGGGAGGGGGAGGGGGTGGACAGAAGAGGTTTTAAAACATAGTATTTCGTACGGCGACCACGTTAGTACGTAATTTCTTGTGACACCTCGCAGGGTTGCACTCAAGGATGTGGCCTAATGAGTCGAGCCAGGTTGATTGTCGATAAGGGTCGGATACCCAAGATGGGTATGACACGCCATCTGTAAGGAGAAAGAGATTCGGCAAGTAATCGCCTATCAAACTTACCCAAGTAGCCGAGGAAGGTCAAAAGCTCAATCAGAGTTCCGATCGTACATAAGGCGAAAAGGAAGATTCTGGCAAGTTCCATTGTCGCCAACGCGCCTTAGAGCGACGAGCGACGGAACTAAGAAAACTCTGCAAAAACTCTGCAAACTTCACTTAAAAGGAATATATAAGAATCCTTTCGTAGGCGGCCACGTATCGTAGAATGGTCGCCTAAGCGAAAGTCTTGAGAACTTAAGCATACCTAAATTCTTATCTTCTATATTCTTTTCCTTCACTGAGCCATACCTACGGTCACCCCATTTTGGCCCTAGGCACCTATTCCTTTACACCACGTTATATAAAAAGACGGTCGAAAAAATAATATTAAAAAAATTCATGTACCGTCTTTTATAATAGTTTGATTACTAAAAAACGATAAAGGTATAAGAACGCATAAATTATATAAGTTAAAGGATTATAGTAATAAATACGGGTAAAAGTGCCATAGACCTCCTCTCCTACTCTTGAAGCTGGCGAGTCTACGGTGATTCAACGAGGCTTACACGGGGTCGATTCAGGGGGTCAGTCCCCGTGAGCCGCCAAACCAAACTAGCAGGCGCCGTCAGCGGACGGGATACCCCGTTACCGCCCGGCTTACTAACACCACACGTGACTATGGAGCTACGATTACGAAAATGCCTCGCAGATCCTGGTGCCTGAGGCATCAAAGGATTCAACGGGGATTCTACGGTGTTTTACCAGATAAAAATAAAAAGGCTATCCGCGCCTTACTTCTGACAGAAGAGGGGCAAGGATTAGAGTTTACTCCTCCTACCACCTATGTTCGAAATGGCTTGCCTATGATCCTCTCAGATTAATGACCACTATCCCCAGACCCCCTCACAAAAAGTAAACAAAAACGAGGCGCGCCACGTTTTCGACGTGGTCACGAGAAAAGCGGGTCAGCTAGTCCCTAATAGGACGATACTTTGGTCACATGATCCGGTTTTTTTGCTGAACGATTTACGTTCATGGATGCTCGACAACCTTATTTTTATGCCCCCCGGCTTTGCTCGGTTACTGGACTTTATTTTCTCATCCACGTATTTCCTGTTTACCAAACGAAGCGCCGTAGTCACTCAATTCTTCACCCTTACCACCCTCAACAGTCGTTTTGACAGTCTTGTCTTCTACTCTTACTTCAGCTGCTAATTCTATTTCGGCCTTTTCTCTTTTTGTTCCTCGTGTTTCACGTTTTGCTCGCTCGTTTTGTTGTCCGACACACCCCCTTTTCAGCCCGTTCACCATGCTGTCGAGACGATTCCTCCTCGCCGCCCGGTCGGCCGCTCTGTGCCGGCCACAGCCGTCGCTGCGCCATGCGCAGCTGCCGCTGATGTTCCAGCATGTGCGCACTTACGCGGATCTGGTAGTCAAGGTGCCCGTGATGGCCGAGTCCATCTCAGAGGGCACGCTCAAGCAGTTCTCCAAGCAGATTGGCGAGCGCGTCGAGCAGGATGAGGAGATTGCAACCATTGAGACCGACAAGGTGCGTTTCTGAAGAGCTGGTGCGCATGTTTGCCATTGCGAAGCGATTGACGCGCGAATTTGGTGACTAACGAAACGATGCATAACACCTGCTCCAGATCGATGTGGCCGTCAACGCAACGGAAGCCGGCGTGGTGCGCGAGTTCTTCGCCAACGAGGAGGACACTGTCGTTGTTGGCCAGGATCTCGTTCGCATAGAGGTCGGCGCCGAGGGCGAGGCCCCGGCTGAGAAGCCTGCGGCGTCCGAAGCACCCAAGGAGGAGGCGGCAAATTCTACTGCCACCGAGTCCGAGTCAAAACCAGAAGCCCCCAAACCTGCTGAACCATCAAAACCTGCGCCTGTCCCGGAGAAGAAGAGCTCACCCGCGCCACCAAAACAGTCCAGCTCCGAGCCCGCCTCTCCTTCGCCGCTTGGCAACCGTGAGGAACGCAGAGTAAGTCAACTGCGAACCGCTCAGGTTTTACTGTTTTTTTTTCTTCTCTCAGATGATGCAGTCTACTAATACCACGTGCCCTCTGCCACAGGTCAAGATGAACCGTATGCGTCTTCGAATCGCCGAGCGTCTCAAGCAGTCGCAGAACACTGCCGCCTCCCTAACCACGTTCAACGAGGTCGACATGTCCTCGCTCGTCGAGTTCCGCAAGCTGTACAAGGATGAGGTGCTCAAGAAGACGGGAGTCAAGCTGGGCTTCATGAGCGCCTTCACGCGCGCCTGTGTGCTGGCCATGAAAGACCTGCCTGCCGTCAACGCGTCCATTGAGGGCCCCAACGGCGGCGACACCATTGTCTACCGTGACTACGTTGACGTCAGCGTGGCCGTGGCGACGGAGAAGGGTCTCGTAACTCCTGTCGTTCGCAACGCCGAGGGCATGGATTTGGTCACCATTGAGAAGTCAATTGCTGACCTGGGCCACAAGGTTTGTGGCTTCCTACATTGCCTCCTAGCTTGTCAACAGACGCAATGCGAATGCGCTAACAAATTTTCTACATTTAGGCTCGCGACGGCAAGTTGACCATTGAGGACATGGCTGGTGGTACCTTCACGATCAGCAACGGCGGTGTGTTCGGTTCGATGATGGGCACCCCCATCATCAACCTGCCGCAGTCCGCCGTGCTGGGCCTCCACGCCATCAAGGAGCGGCCCGTGGCCGTCAACGGCAAGATCGAGATCCGCCCCATGATGTACCTGGCTTTGACCTACGACCACCGTCTGCTGGACGGACGCGAGGCTGTGCAGTTCCTCGTGAAGGTGAAAGAGTACATTGAGGACCCGAGACGCATGCTGCTGTGAGGCATGGTTTCTCAGTCGTAGGTTGGATGTTGTGCTAAGAAGGTGTACGCAAAGTGTTGAGACCGGGGCGTCTCACCTGTAATCTAACTGTACATTTACATTTGGCCTATTTTTTTTTCTTTTTTTTCTTTTTTTCTTATTCCTAGACTCTCTTCAGCTTTTATCGTTCACTTGTGCATCGTTATATGATCTGCCCATGTTTCATAGGTCCTATTTATTGAATAATAAATAAGAAAGGACTTATATAAAGTATAAAAAAAACGCCTTACTTTTAAATTAAACACTTAAATAAAAAAGAGTACTAGAAAACAAAGAATAATTTTCTTTTCTTTGATGTAAAACGTGGTTATTTTAACGATATTCTCCGTGGTGTATTGTTGTTGTCTTACTTTTTGACGCGCGATTGTTCCTGAAACGATCACATAACCTATTTTAGTCAGTTCCTATCACGCGATCCGATTTTTTTATTGTACGATTATAGGACGTCTCTACGCAGTAGAAAGGCCATGGATTTGTTTTTCAACTACTGCGTATATAGGTATAAGTGAGGGTATTACTTTTAAGGTATAAATACTTGCAAAACATATTATTACAGACAGTTTGATAGTCTTTGTATCTACCCTACTTCATCCGTCTAATATGTCTTCCTAAGAGCAGATTCCCACGGGCCAACTCAGCCGTTGTCGAGTGACGACCAAGCCTCTATTTACCGACACCGCTCTTCGTGTTTTACCGTCCCAGACCCTGGCTCATCCCTCCGTGTGCAGCATGCTTCGACCGTGTTAAACCTAGGCCGTGCCAGCAGCAATAGCTTTCTGGCATTGTGCTAGAATGGCAGCCTGTTTTGACACGTCCGCCAATCGCCCAATCACCTCCTTGTTGCCGTCAATAAACCCGTATAGCGCGTAAGGGATTCCGACCTCGTTGCAAAAGTCTAACACCATTTTTTGTGCCGTCCTTAAGTTGTGCCGAGGCATGCGCGGGTACAGGTGGTGAATGGCCTGAAATTGTAGCCCGCCGTGAAAAAAATCGAGCCACTGAGGACAGTCGACGTCCATCGTCGTTCGTAGCATTCGCTGCGGAAACGACTCGTGCGGTCCAAGGTCTGCTGTACTCATAGCAAAGTGTGACAGGGTTATCTGTAGATGCAGAGGCATCGTCATAATGTGACTGACCATGACAAAAACGAAGCGGCCCCAATTGGAATCGATGCTCTTGTACACAATACCATACCCAAACCAAGCCCAAAAGAAGACCTGCCCGGCAGCTTCCAGCCACCTATGCCACCATGCCGGGCCCTTTTGCGGCCCAAGACCGAGTATAATGTACTGCCAAGACAGACGATAGAGGTTGAAGCGACCAAAGCACAGTATCAAATAATAGGAATACGCTTGGATCGACAGGAAAAATCGAGCAGCCGCGTCGTACTCCATGACTCTGTCATAATATGTCGATCGCAGGGACTGCAACAATCGATGCGACACTGCCAAAAAAGGCATGTGCTCAATGTCGGGGTCATGTTCGGGCGAATTGGTCACAATGTGGTGCACGTTGTGGTTGTCTTTCCACCAGCAGATTGAGAGGCCGCCGAGGAAATCGGCAATGATAATGCCTATCACCGTGTCTCCATGGAAATTGTGCGTGATCCCCATATGGCCAGCGTCGTGGGCTGTGAACACCAGCTGGTGCCAAAAAGCCCCCAGGCAGGCCGCGCTGGTCGCATACCACCGCAAACGCAAAAACGCAAGCATCAATACAAAAAGGGTGACGTAACGTAGAACTTCCCATGCATACGCTGTATAGTTGCAGTCAAAAAGACCTGCTGCGCGTAGTTTGTCGTGTAGTTCGCGATATTTGAGTACCACGTTTTGCTGTGTCCGCATGTCAAGGGACGGGTATTTCTCGAGATCAAGCTGGATTTCATCCCTCGTCTTCGCATCCAAAAATGCAGTTGCCGTCCTACACGTGCTTTTTTTCACTTCTCCTGTGGTGTCGTTGCAGTCCTCAATCTGTGAGGCAGACGATGGCGTCGCAGTACAGGGCGATAATGACAGGTGCCCAGCCCGTCTTCGTATTTCTTTGCATGGGTACGCGCAGTCGTCCGAAGGAGCACCGTTGGCCTCGTCGTCAAACATGGGAAGTGGGGATGTGGACCGAGAGCTTGGTCCACTGCTGGAATATCTGGCCGTCAATACTGTGGATGCTGTCGAAGCGATCGATGCTGTCGTGGCTGCCATCCCGACGTGTTCTTGGAAACCGCCACCTTGTATAGGTGGTATAAAATTCTCCCAGACGCCTTCTATTCTCCCAATCCTGTATCTATCCATGTTCTGGCGAGTTTCTTCGGAGTGGAGACTGTCCCGACATAAACTGGTTAGCAGGTACCTGTTAAAAGCAGACGTATATTTGACAAAAAGACGTTAGTGATTTGACAGGAAACAAACCAGTTCACTTCATCTGTCGCATCCCTTCCGACCATATGCATGATGGCCTTCGATCCACCCGGGTGGTACGGCAGCCAAGCATCCACTCTCAGAACATGCTGGTTGACTATAATAAGGCTTCGGCCCTGTGCAATCATTCTCTCAATCTCCTCGCGAGACATGAGCGGGTATTCTCTCTCGGGGCAAGCAGAGCGACCAGTACGACCACGTGGTTTTTGGGAAGCCATTGTCGGAGATTGCGGTGTCGTTTGAAAGAGCCGTGATACAGCAGGCGACTCAGGCACCGAAGGAAACGCCGCAGCCTACGAGTGAGGACGGTGCAGAAAATGTGAGCGAGGGAGTGGTCGTTCGTGTGCAGTTAGCAATGAGCCAGCTTTGGCCTGTCCGAAGCGTTTGTTGGAATGCAAGGTTTCACAATGGGTATCGTGTAAGTAGTGGCGCGAACACTGATGTTGGTCATATTCACCACAAGTCCGTGTTGTTGACGGGCGGTTGAGAAGAAGAGTGTCGAGCTTTGTTCGTGTTTTCGGCGAAAGGGGGTGGGCTCATACGCGAAATAAATCGGAATTACGACTTTGATTATGGAGCAAACACAAACAGAGAAAACATAATTCGTACAAGGCGAGTTTTCCCTTGTTATGTGGGCCAACACACTGTAAAATACCTGCGGTGTGGGGCAGACCAACACTAAACGCAGTACGGTAGAAGTCAGTGAGAACAACGCATCTTACACTACTAATACATTTAAATAAATTCAAGAGTCAACACAGTCGAATCTTTACCTCTCGCCTTAAAAGCCGAGAAGTGACTCCGCCTACAAGGTCACGCCAGACAACGTTAACGCCAAGCTCAAAGAGAGTACAGCAACAACATCCGCTGGTTTACAAACTCCACGGATCCTGTCCATAAATAAACATGGGTGCCGGTTGTTGCAGGTGAAGGCGGTGATTAACCCCATTATTTAATGGAGCTATGTGTCGAACAGATAGAATCACCCTTTAGTGTAAATAGGGTGCCTCGATCGAAACATATGCTAAAACCGTCGAGCTTCGGTTGCCCGATCTGTTGGTTTACGGCATTATGCTCTCTGGGCCCACAGCGTAATGCTCTACTCCGCCTCTCCTACTCTAGCGGACCCCGTTCCTCTATTCCGCTCCGACACTCCAAGCCCCAGAAGGATGGCGAAGCGTGTCAGTTGAGCATATCCTCAGCCATTTTGCAGGATGGCCTCACAGTCGGCAGAGAACTCAGCGGCTGTCGACCGAACTTCTGACGGAAGGTCCGGTCAACCTACCCCGACTCAGTACTCTGACAGGATAAGAATCCAAACTTTACATGACATATTTACGTCTTATACGGAGGAAGTTTATATAGCTGCCAGTCATTCACAGTCCTCCGTGGCGCGACCTGGAATATCTAATCTGGAGGGGAGCCGGCCTTCGTTTGTAATATTCTGCTTCACTGTGAAGCTGTAAGTTAGAAGTGTCGCCCCCTAAAACAAGCTATGTACGATTGGCAACAGCGTAAATGCATCGCCAGAACGACCAGCGAGGTGCATGTGTAGTGGTGAAGGTCACTGTAAGCATAAAATACGTCGTGTTACTGGTTGGTACTCTAATGGCTTTACATTGAACTTCGGCCGCAGTCGGTTGGTAATGTGATCTTAAAGTTAACAATCATATGAGCCTGCTTGCGTGTCTATACAATATATACCTCCCAAAGGACTTTTCCCGGGTTGTTGCAATTCGAGTGGCCAGGTGTTCTTTGCATGGTACAGACGAACAAAGATATCCCCCGAGCTAAAAAGCGATGCTCGCAGCCCCCGTGGACTGATCGCACCAATACCTAGATAGGTATAAGCGTCTTCCCGGCCAGATATTGTGTCCATAGTCAGTAGCCGATCGGCCATTAAACTATCAAGCCATTGCCTCTTGGGCGACGTTGGGGGCTGATATTCACCACACGTGTAGTATGTAGTTGGTCCCCCGTGTCGTTTAACAAGTCCTAACGTTTCGAGTTGGAACAGGACGCGGCTCGTATCAACTGGGTCCCGAAAATCCGATGTGTAGATATATATTAGACGGCCATACAATGGACGACCCTAACCTTCAGCTGCCGGGTGCCGGGTAACAATATTGGCAGCTATACCAAGCCTGCCCTAGTATGTTGCTAAGGCCACGGCCTTCCAAGCGCCCTCCACCTTGTCTGTGTCGACGAAGGGCATGCACTGGATATGCGTCAGTTTCTCGGCTGCCGATGGCCGTTGATTGTTTGGGTTCCCTCACCTTCTCACATGTCACACCAAGGTTTCCGGCAAATTCCAGTATATCCCTGGCTGTGGACTGTCTGGGCATCTCATGGCGCGGCTGCCTGGGCAGGTTCATCTTCTTTGGGCCGTCTAGGAAAGCAGTGAGAATACTCAGTCTCTCTTTGGGCCCCACGGCGAATAACGCTATGTGCACGCCAGTATCCGCCTCCGGTCCCTCATCGCCGCATTCGGGAATGAGTCGAATTCGCACTCTAATTTTGCCTTTCTCCCGGCATGCGGGTTGCGTAAGCAAATACAAGGTATATGCCCAGTCGCTTCAATCCGGGTGGACGGCAGGCGGCCCATAAACTCGTCTACGCTCTCGTCGATCTGTCATGCGTACGGGACGCCTGTAAATGGATTGTTGAGTTGCTGTTGGGATGGTATGTTTTGCATCACAGCTGGCGGGTGGTGTGGGTGCGACTTCTTTCGTCTTGCGGTTATCTTACACGAGGCAGCCGAGCTCGCTGCTTCGGTCTCGTGACAGTCTTCGGCTTCCCTTTAGTTGGGTGTCAGTAAGGTCTCTCCTGGAAAACTGAGCTGTATCTCCCTGGTAACTTTGACAATACATCTGTGGGTTTGCCGTTGGGGTCGGAATCAGACCCAGAGTCCGACTTCCTGGGGCCGCCCATGCTGGTGGCTAACACTTTAGTTTCACGGCTAGGTATTTATCGGTCTCCGTGGAATCCGTTATTCGCAGTACGCTGGATGATGGATGAGCACGCTGTGTGTATGGCTCTACCGCGGCAGTGTATTAGCGGGCAGTATTGGGGGGACGTGTTGTGTTGGTTTTGATAGTGCCTACATCGTATTTTTTCTTGGTGGGTATCGTTTGTACGTCATTACCCACGCGAACATTTTACCGCTTCTCTTACTTGAAATATTTATGAAACTATTACACTCTTTTATGGAACCTTCTTTTTATTTTCTTTTTTTCTTTCTTTGTTTCTTTTTATGTCCCTTTAATTTTAATCACTTCGTTTATCTTTTGTCTCCATCTCCCTCCTACCACGGCGACGAAATAAAATTTATCAATTTCCGCTTCCCTTGAACTGTAAGCACTGTTTAGTTGGCATCTCCGGCTGCCAGGCAACTAAGACGAAGGCGACTAGGTGACGAGAATAAAGCATTGAATTCAGTAAGAGTCGGTGATGGTAGAACATAAAATAAGAGAGGTCACCCTATTCACATCGTAACAACGTAACTTTTACGTGGCTCCCGCGAGAAGAAGAAAAAAAAAACTGTTCAATAAGTATACCTGAGGAACTACATCTTACCGCACTTTTGTTAGTCTGATATCAACCCGTACCCTACCTATGTAACGAATTTCGTAACTACAAAGAGACCATTTTATGATTTTAGTATTATTATATATATATACAGCGTGAATTTATAACCTACTATCGATCTCGCTGGGAAAGATATCTCAAAGGGCTCCCAATAGGTGCACGTATGTGTATAATGAAGAAAGTCTTACATGTTATGAACTATGGCTTCTGATTGGCCGCCGCACATGTGTGCAAATAAAACATTTAACATAATCGTTTTCATAACCAACATCGCCAGATGGACAAGAAAACACTACAAAATCGCTCTATAAACCACACTGTATAATTATATGCACACGTAATGCCATACTACAACGGCTACCACATCCCCTATATACTTTATAACCTTACACTTATTCGCTCTACGCTTGCTGTTACAGCCAACAGCTCCGCGCGAGCCGTTACTTCGGAGACCTGCGAAGCTCGTACAAAATGAGACGTCTAAGCACGCGGTGTGCAGGCCGCCGAAGTAAGGGAGGTCCATGCACGCCGCCGGCGCCGTGCTGCACCGTTCTCCGTTTCCGCCCAAGTAATGTTCGCGATGTTTTCTGTTGGCGATGGTTTTGAGAATAGATGAAAAGAGGCACTAAAACGATTACGTCAGAAGTTTTATTTGCACACATGTGTACGCCTATTGGGAGCCATCTTAAACGTTGGTTGGAAAACTTACGTAAACTCACCAAATGAACACGGTGTAGATAGGGAAATTTACAGTGCGATTAGAGAGACTCTTCGTACTAAAGAACGTTATCAAAACACACCCACAACATGTTGTAATTACCTCCGCCAAAAATAAAAGCCGCCAAGCCGAGTCACTAACATTACCCAATTACCACACCCGGCGGAACTGAACAAAAGCAGGGCAGACAAAGTGAACAGCAAACATGACGGAATCCTCGATCTCTATCGAGTCTCACACGCTGGACCTCCCCCCGAGCTGCATAGAATTCTGCCCAGGGTATCCGGACTACTTCTGCGTTGGCACGTATAACCTCGTACAGGACGAGGCACGGGCGCAGGGCGACGTATCCCGGCCCCAGAACCGCAATGGCAGCATCGTGGTATTTAGATTGGAAGACACGACCATGTAAGGATCCCCCCCCTCCCCCCAGGCACCTATGCACGAGCGTCCTGGCCACGGACGAGTGCCTCAGAACATATTTTGCTCCTATGTACCTAACCACAAGAGAAACTGCCGGAACGACGAACGTCAAATAGCCACCGCATAGAAACAGTTGCACAGCCATCGGCAATCTTAGACCTCCATTTCCAACAACTGACAGGCAAACAAGACGTGTTCGCCGTGGTTTCCAGCACAGCGTCCCTGTCAATATTTCGACTGACGCCCTCGGCACCTGGCGGACGCACCGTGGAACTTATCAGTGTAGCTAGGGTTGATGGCGTCGGAGAGGACACCTTATTCCTGGCATGCGCCTGGCACCCCTCGACACCCAATATTATTGCCGTCTCCACGTCATCCGGGGAGGTTTACATCATAGCCATCAACACGACCAAGCAATCAACTGTTGTCTCCAAAATTCCCGCCATAACACACGACCTGGAAACTTGGGCGGTTGCGTTCTCCCCGCCTGTATTCGTACCCCTCCAAGCGCTGGATGGCAGCAATACTGAAACATATAATGGGCATGGTGGTTTTATTAGCACCCTTTACTCAGGGAGCGACGATTCCCTACTGAAATACACATGCGTTGTAAGCCCACAACCAGTAAACGGCAGTGAGGTCTCACCCGGCTTTCCCACCGGTATATGCAAGCTAACGGGGCACAACGCCGGCGTGACGGCAATTTTACCTACGCCCATTATGAGTCCCGACGGTGGGCGCGTCGTGGTGACGGGAAGTTACGACGACCACGTACGGGTGTACTCGATCCTCGACCCTGCAACCACCGGCGGAATTCGTCGCGTGTCATGCCTTGCTGAGCAATGCCTAGGTGGGGGTGTCTGGAGATTGAAACTGGTTTCCCACACAACAGATGATGGAACTGGATGCTGGGGATTGCGTGTGCTAGCGTCATGCATGTACGCAGGTGCACTTGTGATTGACATATCCGGCAATGCGCCTGGCAAATGCCAAGTCATGGTCCGGGCCCGATTCAAGGAACACAAGAGCATGAATTACGGTAGCGACTTCCAACAACGTCAGTCACTGCTGTGTATCTCCACTAGCTTCTACGACAAACTTCTCTGCCTGTGGGAAGTCAAACAACGTTGGCATGGAAATTTGAATAGTAGCGACTGTTATTCGGCCAACCTTGAGGATTATTTGCCATAGATGCAACTATGAAACAGTTCCCTAGCGCGCAGTCGGCGCAAAGACCCATGCCCACCCATTCCACTTTGTCCAATAACGACATACAGGAGTTCCAAAGGAAATGAACACCATATGCAACGACAAGCGCCATGCACGTGCAGGATACCTATGTTGGAAGGTACTTCTCAATGACTCTATTATGGAAGCCATTGTTGTTGGGCCGCATGATTGCTCCCAGAAAGCTCCCGTACAGCCACGAAGTGACACCAAACAGATCGGGACACGAGGCTATACAAGACTGAAAGCGGCACAGCTAAAGGCCGTTCGAAAAGTTCGCCCATGCCTGATGGTGGATGTTACCGGGTTTCGTGGACCTCGGGTAGGATATGAATTGGCACTGCATCAGCCATCGTTTTCCAGAGCTAGATCCAGAGCGGAATCGGTATGGACAGCAACCAAAGGGAGCACGAGGCGGTAAGCGCTGTTTCCATTGAGATAGTATCGATGGAGTTTTTTCGAGCGGAAAAAGCCGAGCCTCTCGTATAAGCGGATGGCAGAGGCATTTGACTCTTCGGTTTCTAACACCACCTCATCCGCATTATGTTCCGCCATAGCGTCAATGGCCCGTCTAACAAGAGATGTCGCCACGCCATAGCCTCTACTGGCTGCAGAAACGGCCAACATCGCGATGTAGCCCCGGCATGTTGATGGGCCATTTGAGTCATGCGGTTCCAGTTTGCAGATGACGACACCGACGAGAGAAGAATCGGCCGGGTTCAGGGCCTGCATCAGTGGCGCGGACAGTCAGTGACGATGACAACAGGGCACACATTTCGGAACAAGTTTGGAACGGGAAGGGGGCTTTGAACTACCATAAAACACAGGTGGCTCCATTGGCGTAAAAAGTAGCGGTAAACATAGATACTGTACGGCTCACTAAGGTCTCTCGATATAAGAGCCCGGATAGAGGGGAGATACTGCTCCTCGAGGCTGTGTTCGTAGCGGATGTATTGGAGTGCGGGTGCTGCCATGCTCGAAGCTATAGATAAGATTGCCATCTATGATCAAGAGCATGTGTATGGGGCTGGCGGGCGCTCAAACATACAAGAGGGACCTCATCAAGAATGTTGTCGGTGCTGCGTGGTTGACGCCGAATGGGTTTCACCAGAACTGGCCGACCTCGCTATCTGACTTCAATTCCTTGAGCGTTGTTGTGTTGATAATGTAATGGTTGCTTGGTTCCTTCACCTTGACATACATAAAATGTACGGCATGCCTGGTGTATATTCACGTGCTTGTGGAAAAACACTTTGGAAATGGTGGGGCATTACAGGCGGTATTACGTCGTAATACCAACGCGCACTGATAGATTATTTTTTGTTTACACGCCCACCCCGGCCGTTGTTGTTGCCTGCCCCACTAGACTAATAACTCGTTCAGTGCAGCCTTCGTCATAGCTTGCTTCCGCGCGGCTGCTGGACCAACGAGCCAACCTCCGAATCACCAAGCACATAATGAGAACAGAAATGGAGTAATATTTTTAACAACCCGCCTCCCTCCCGGTAACCCTTGCCGATTTGTCCACTCACCTCGAAAGGGCCGTTATTCTGGCATACACCAATGGGATAGGTCGCGTATAATCCACCACATTTGACGTTCTTGCAAGGCCTTCCTGCTCGGAGCTGCGACGCCCATTCGCAATTCGGCTCCTCATCTCGAGACTTCTTCTGATACCTCGCCTTTCCCATTTACACGGCGACGCACGCTATTGCGCTTCCTAAATCACACATTCGGAAGATTGTCCCCTATAACTGTGCCCCAAGCCATGGCCAATGCCGTTCGGAGAAGGGGCCGCCAGCCTGCGCAGTCGAACCAGGCAAACAGGGATGAAGTCAACCACGACACAACTTTTTCGGCTGGCACCCCGTCTGATATAAGTGAGCATGGTTGGTCACCCGATATGTCGGACAAAGCACGCACACACCCTGCGTCTCACAGGTCCAGAACTGGGAAGAAACGACGTCATACGCTTGTATTCCTTCTTGGAAGTCTATTCGGACTTATTGCCGCTGGATTCTTTGCCAAAAGCAACGACCTTATCGACTTTCCCGAAATCGGGGAGCTTACGATGGACAGCCTCTTTGACGTACTTCCTGCAGGCCTGGTGACGGACATGCGGGACTTGGTGGTAAGTTGTTAGCAGGTCATTAGTAGTGGCCTCACAGCCCTGCCACAAGGTTTCCGCTTTGCCCTATAATTTCTTTTCTCGGAAATATCCATGGCAACTCGCTAATTTTTTATTTTTGAACGCAACGCTCTAGAATGGCGAGCGCGACTTTCTTGACAGTTCGGATGCATTTTCCGTAGGCTTAAAGGTCAAAGCAGAAGGCCTAGGTGTCAACCACTCGGTCATCATGATACCTGGTGTTATCTCCACCGGCTTAGAATCCTGGGGGACAGCCAATGCCTCTCGGCAGTATTTCAGAAAAAGGCTCTGGGGCAGTTGGAGCATGATGCGCGCTCTTGTATTGGACAAAGAGAACTGGAAGAGGCACATTATGCTCGACAAAAAAACTGGTCTGGATCCGGCAGGCTACAGAATGCGTGCGGCACAGGGCTTTGATGCCACGGACTTCTTCATTACGGGATACTGGATTTGGAACAAGATTTTTGAGAACCTTGCGTCTCTGGGTTACGACCCAACAAACTCGTTCACAGCAGCTTACGACTGGCGACTCTCATACGCAAATCTTGAAGTGAGAGACCAGTACTTCACACGACTAAAGATGCACATCGAAATGGCTGCCGCCACGTCAGATCGAAAGGTGGTTCTCGTGTCTCACAGCATGGGTAGCCAAGTTCTCTTCTATTTTTTCCACTGGGTTGAATCGCGTCTTGGGGGCCGAGGTGGTGACGACTGGGTTGAAAAGTATGTGGACTCTTGGATCAACGTGAGCGGTTGCATGTTGGGTGCTGTGAAGGACCTGACTGCAGTGCTGTCCGGAGAGATGCGTGACACTGCGCAGCTAAATTCCTTTGCGGTCTATGGCCTGGAAAAATTTCTTAGCAAGGAGGAGCGGGCTGACATCTTCCGTGCTATGCCTGGCATTTCTTCGATGCTTCCGATGGGCGGTGATGCCATATGGGGTAGCATCGAAGATGGTGCTCCAGACGACCTGCCCGGCCAAGAACAGAGCTTTGCAGCGCTGCTAAATTTTCGAGGGAGCGATAACTGGACCATTCCGCTACACAATTTGACCGTCAGTGGCGCCTTAGACTACCTCTTCAACACCTCACAGGACTGGTACCGAGAGCAAATTCGGTCTAGTTACTCCCATGGGGTTGCCCAAACTTCTGAAGAGGTCGAAAGGAATGAAAGAGATCCGCGAAAATGGATCAACCCATTGGAAACGCGGCTTCCACGTGCGCCGAGCCTCAAAATTTACTGTTTTTACGGCGTTGGAAAGCCTACTGAACGCTCATACTACTATCGCTCACCAGATCCTCTCCCTACAACCAAGCTAAACATCACCATTGATACCACCTTGACGCAAGGAGAAATGATTGATCATGGTGTTGTCATGGGTGAAGGTGATGGTACTGTTAACCTTTTGAGCACGGGGTATATGTGCAACCAGGGCTGGAAGCTCCAACGATATAACCCAGCGGGTGCCAAAATCACGGTTGTCGAGATGCCACACGAACCAGAAAGGTTTAATCCCCGAGGGGGACCTAACACGGCCGACCACGTTGACATTTTAGGCAGACAAATGCTCAATGAACTGATTTTGAAAGTCGCGGCCGGGCACGGCGACACTATTAAGGAGCGGGTTGTGAGTAGGATACGACAGTATGCCGCCAAGGTTAAAATTTACGAAGAATGAGATGGATGACCTTCGCTCTAAGGTAAGATGTCACTTACATAATTAGGTAGTATATGTACGCGATGATTTTGTAACGTTTTGGGACCAGATTTGCCAACCAAACCCACCTCTGCAACTAGTACAGGCTTTGCCATCGAAGTTCGCAGACAATCTTCGCGCGCAAACATTATATTGATGTCAAGCGGTCATCCTGTCGAACCTCTTCAGACAGTAGCAAAGAACATACCATAGGCCTCAATTCGGATGAGTGATATACAAACTTGTCGAAATTAACCCACAACTCCCACAATATACCAATATCCCATGGGCAAAGCCAAAGCAAATACCAAAGTAAAACAATCCCAGTGGCGCTCAAAATATATCCTATAACGCCAACGCAGTATCCATATCATCGTCGCTGAGTGTTTCAACTTCATCGATTGCGCCTTCCCTGCCAAATGCTAGATCGCCACCTGAATCATAGTTAGACACGGTAACAATGGCTCTTCCTTGCACATGCTTGATTGAGCTTTTCCAACTGTCCCAGTCATCCTCATCCTTGATAAGGAAACCAATCAGCATGCTGGGATCCATCTCGCGGATGTGTAGTCGCCGAAGTCGTTTTGTATGACAGGAGCTCAGCTCTTCTTGAGTGTAGTCCGTCGGATCCGCATGGTACGCAAGGGCATCTCGTGTATGATGGGGGTCAAGGTAAAATAAATATGATCCCTGGTCATCAGCCGACCTCTGAGAACCGACAAAATAGTGCGAAGAAGAGGGACGGCCCCTATCATAAGAAACGTTAGCTTGATCAAAACCATCTGACATCTTGAGCTGGGGGGACTCTACTCACCCTGCAATTCCCACAGACTGTGGCATCTGCAGGGCAGATGTAAGTGCCTCCCAATAAACCGTGTTCGTTTTATCCACCCCTAATCTTGTGCCCACCAGGATCAAAGTCGGATGGAAGGCACCGTCAGGTCCAGTCCTTGCAACCTTCAAGAAGCCATCTTCGTAGACGTCTGGGAAGTCGCCGGTTGTGTAGACCCGGAGGGATCCAGGGTACGAATTTGCTAATGCCCTGAGCGGCACGTGAAAATCAGCATACAAACGAGATCATCAAGTGCATAAAAGGGACGAGAAAGACGCAGATTGCGTACTGGATGCACCGCGCTGTAGCAGACGGACCAAACCATTCCCCGGGGTACTTGCCACACGCAGAAGCGCCGTGGTCCACGAATCTGTGAATAGAAAAGGGAGCTCGAGGGTCATCTGCAAACATGGAGATGATTTCGCGCTCTCCGGGGCCCCCGTCACTCGACCGCCAGTCTAATGATATATGTTAGTTTGAGGAGAAAGGTGGAATGGCTGACATACGGAAAACTTCGTGGAATCACTTGAACAACTCACCCCGTCCCAGCTTCCACATGGACAGAGAGTTCGCTAGTAGGCTCTGGCCCGATCGGATCATGCAACCCCACCCACTGTCCGAAGAGAATCCGCTTTGGTCACCGAGACTTTTTAACCGCATAGTGAACGACCAGGCTGCCGTAGATTTTGGATCGGTTGAACGTGGAATATTCTCAAAACCAGAGCGATATGTCATCCAAAATCGCGATTCAAAGTCTTCCAGGAACGCGGCTGGCCAGCCTCCAAGTTCCGGCCCCTCCTCTTCATACGCTAGCGATGAACCAGACCTGTCCAAGGCGCAATCGATAGAGGTATCTGAGTTCGAGATGAGTAGTTGAGATGCTACTGGTTCCGCGTTTGCAGATTTAGTCGTCGGTAGCTTAGATGGCCCATCGATCTGGAAAGGACCTTTATCTCCGCCTCTATTTGTTTCCAGTGAGTAGGAGCGCCCAAGGCACCAAACTGGCTGGTTCGCTATAATATCATTCGTCGGCTCCGGGTCCCACAGCAATTTCATGATGCGGCGGCCATAGCGGCCAAGGTCTGCTCCTGCGGTGACGGCGACATCCATGCTTTCCAAGAAAGAAAGAAATAAGCAAAGAAAGCAAGAGACGCCGAAGCAGAAACAATTTAACGTTAGCTAATCCGGCTTCAAATCATATCATGGAAGACGTGGGATCGTCAGATCTTATCCAGTATAAAACACTACTGTCGGTAGTCGGATAGTAATGTGATGGATGAGATGTTGGAGAGGAAGTGGATGGAGGAAAGTGGCTATAGAACGTTGTCCGTAAGTCAAAAGATCAAGCGTAGCTATGGATGAAAATGAAAAATAGTCAAAATAAAGCTTGTTGTCATTTCGTCGCGTTAAAAGTCAAGCCTTGGTTGAAACGGAGCCAGGCAGATGATCAGAGCCCTGTCCACAGACTTAGAAATAATGACGTGTGACTCGTTGCTCTGACGCCTAAATATATCCCCCACACCGTGCAAAAACGCCAGGCCAAAATACGTACTGTATGGTACGAAAGTTTATCCCCGCTATTTATGTAATTTGTAGTCAGTTCTCGCTAGTGTAGAAGATTATCTGCCAAATATATGGTCGCTGTAACATTTCTTCGTGTGTGTATATGCCATTATCCCCGTACGGACGACAAACATCGATGCTTGAATACGGAAAAAAAGAAGGAACCGGCGCTCTGTTAAGTTCAAATTATCGACGATGGCAAGACATAAAAGGGGCGCACTTGGAAAGAAACAACCTCATTTCCGCGCTGCCGGTGCTACTGCTGGCACTGGTAGCGCTTTTTTGAAAAAACCTCCCAGCCACGACCGCGGTGAGCAGCAGCCAGCCCGAAAATGGGACGTCGCCTCTACGTTCGGCGACCCGTCACCTTCAGGTAAGTTGACTCTCATTCATAGTCGTATAATAGTTTCAGAAAGTAATAACAAATATCAACAGGCACTTCTATGCAACAGTTAGCCTTGAATACAAGAAACAAGACATCACATTGGGATGAGAACTCGAGCCTACGGGGTCGACCTGTCACATTCATCAGCGGTGGATTCGTCGAACCATTAACCGAAATTGACGTACCTGGCGACCCAACCATGACCAAAGCGCCAACCAACGCAATCCTTCCGGACGAGATAAAACCCTCCGGTAAAGTCTGCGAAATTTCAGCGCAAGCCACGTGTTCACCCCAGATGTTGCGAGAAGGAGACACTTTCGGGGCCCCGTCGACGACATTACAAGCAGAAGAAGATTGTAGGTCAGACTCTAGCGATGAAGTAATCCTTTTCAAGGGAAGAGGTTCCCGAAATGGTATCCAGCCGAACTTTCAAAAAGAGTTCCCCGAATCTCTACCAGCCTCAGAGCATAGTACTTTCGCAACGCTGCCAACAACCCATCCTAGCGTCTCCCCACCCAGTGACTTGGATCTGCTTATCTCTGGTTCGGGTGATGAATGCGGTACCGATGCTGCTGTCGACGACTATATTCAAAATATGTCTACCGAGGACATGGCGGACATGGTCCGGCAACTCACAGCAAATCACCGAGAACTAGGAGGGTATGACAACGACATCGTCGTTGATATTGCGAGTAACAGCAACGGCGGGGACAATAGCGGTAACGGCACTGACAGCGACAGTGGCGGCGGTATTACTTCGAGTGGAGTAGCGCAAGATGCGGTCGGAAAGTACAGCCGGCGAACTCCGAAACGTGGAGGCGCACGAGATAACACCAACAACAACGTCGATAATAGTGCCTCTGATGATGCGTGGCAGCTTACAACAGACTCGGACGACGAGCACCTTTCCAGGCTGTTAGCAAAGCAAGAGGGAATGGGCCTAGGTGAAGAGGACTCGATACTCCTAGACGCTACCCCAGCCGCTGTTGACTCGACGAAATGTCGACGAGTCAGCAAGCGACCCAAACCCCCAAAAGGATCACCTATTTTAAACCCGTCAGCCCTGGCGAAGTACGATCTCACGAAAAGGTTTCCAGCATCTCATGGATCTTATCCTAGTGCCGAAGCTGTCGCGGATGCGTTTGAGCAGCTCGAGGTTACTGGTTGGGCTGGCAATCGTGGCAGATTGGAGCTAGAATTATCTGACTTGGAATTGAAAAATAGCATGCAAGCATCATGGCAAAAAGACCGGCAACGGAAAAGGGATCGAAAAATAGCTCGAGAGGAGCTGAGGGCTCAAGGGCTCCTGGGAAAATTTTCAAACCCGAATGACCCCCGTGTCAAATATCCAAATGGCATGAACCTCGACGACATAAAGACTGAATTTCGGTACTTCTTACTCGGGTCTGAGCACAAGTACGTGTATGTAGCATTCTCAGCTCACAATTGTTCATGACTAACATATGATGGCCAGTATAACATTGGCTCCTATGGATGCACACGCACGCAAGATTATTCACGAGATAGCCTATCGCTTCAACATAACCTCCAAATCCACCGGCTCAGGCGACCAGCGTCGCCCTTCTCTCGTTCGTACAAAGGCCACCGTACGTTTTGACGACGAGTTTTTTCAAAGTGTCTTTGAAAAATACAGGCGCCGCATTTTTACCAGATTTGTCAGTAGAGCCACCGAATTAGAAAAGAAGACCATGGCACGCAAAGGAGGAAATACGGCCGCCGCAACCGTTCGAAATGGAGAAGTGGTAGGCGGATCTGCCCCAGAAATCAGCATCGCCAATAAAGGGCGCACAATGCTCGAAAAAATGGGCTGGAGCACAGGCATGGCACTTGGGGCGGTAGACAATAAGGGCGTGACTCAAATTATTGAGCACGTCGTGAAACGTTCCAAAGCTGGCCTCGGATAAATTCGATATAATCTTTCCATTTTGGTGGACTTAATACCTACATCCTGCACGAATACTAGCATGTGCGCACTCTTCATGTTCGGAACAATACTTTGATTTAATCGAAAGATTTCCATTGTTGTCGTCGCACAAACGAACCCATTCCGAAATCCTAATATTGTAGGTAAATGTACAGACGCAAACCCCATAACCCGTGGAAGCATTGCCCCCTTTAAGATAAAACAAAACAAAAGCACATAACCCTTCCGTAACACATTAGAGGACTCCGAAAATGGTCGCCTCGGTCAGTCTTGTCATGACACCTAGGTGCCAAACAAACCCACATCGTCGACGCAAAAGAAAAATCCGAGAACACAAAAGACAAAAAGACAGAAACCAAGCGCTTATTTCGTAGACGTGGAGTACTTGGTGACAGCCTTCGTGCCTTCCGACACGGCGTGCTTCGCAAGCTCACCAGGCAAGATCAGGCGAACACTGTCATGTCAATAAATAGCCCTCGATCGCAACACACACACATGTACTCTTCGGTGAAGACTTACGAGGTCTGAATCTCTCGGGAGGAAATGGTCGACTTCTTGTTGTAAGCCGCCAGCTTCGAGGCCTCCGTGGCGACGCGCTCGAAAATGTCGTTGACGAAAGAGTTCAAAATCGACATCGCACGGTTTGAAATACCGGTGTCTGGGTGCACCTGCTTGAGGACTGTTCTTATTAGCACGTCTGAAACAAGTCACACGTCGAAAGAGCCCGCTTCGAGAGTGCAATGTGCCGTCTGAAATGAAACAAACCTCTGTAGATATAGGAAGAGTAGGTCTCCTTGCGGGCCTTGGTCCGCTTCTTCTTGTCACCAGAAGCGGCGGTCTTCTTGCCAGCATCCTTCTTCTCCGGCGCCTTAGAGGCAGTGGCAGGTGCCTTGGAAGCGGGCTTCTTGTCAGCGGCCTTGGGAGGCATTTTGAAGTACGTAGCGGTGGTGGTTGAAAATGATGGGGAGTGCGAAATATGAAAATGAGGTGATGATGGCTGATAACACTGGGTGTCGCAGAGAGTCGATGTTGGGAAAATATTTGATAGGGAAAAGACACTTCCACAAATTTGGGGGGCACCAGCCTTTTTGTATCTGGATGTGACGGCGGTGCTGTTGTTGCTGATTGCCATACGCGGAGGTCTGCTGATTTCGCGCAGCAGCCATTAACTAGGTCGGTCTGTGCTGGGCTGTTTTGGGGTTGGCGGGCGCGTCGAACTGTGGGACAGCAAAGGTGGGGAAAAGTGCTGTCCTTAGGAATGTTGTGAAAGACCCACCAAGACAGTGACTTTAATTGGCCACAAAAAGAAACAGGAGCCACTAGCCAGTACAAGGCCAACTGTTTTCATCATAGATAGATTCAGCCAATAGGATGTGTCAATTTCAAGAGTAGAAACTATAACGGGACAAGAATCGAGGTAGCAAGACGCGTGACTGTCGCGTACCACGACTTTGAGCAGAGAGCACAATGTTTCCGTACAAAAATGTGGCCATGCTAGATGTCTTGAACAAGGGCAGACTCACGTAAGTATAATTGTGCCGTGACTTCGAGTAGGTGTCGTAGGAATAGGTCTTCCAACAAATCTCAATACAGTGTTCTAAGTGTGTTCTTATGATTGTAAACAAACCAGCTCGAGACAACCACCGCTATATACTTCCGCTACACCAGGGTACCTACCGTGTCGGTTAGCTGCGATTGACTGTTGAAAATACGAGGTGACCCCCTATCATTCGCATACAGAATTTAAACAGGCAATATTGTGTTACAAGCCGTGGCGCCAAAATAGAGCCGGCCAACAAAAAAAAATCGCAACGCAAATACACGATACATGACGTTGGCCCTCAGCCGATAGTGCACGCATGGCCTACCAAGGCACAACAAAAGAACCCAGGGATGGTCCTCGATCGACGTGGACCTTTCATGGGCCAGGGAACCAAAGCAGCAAAGAAAGTTACGTCTTCGCGACTGCCACGGCCCATCCGGTATACACCATTAGATTTCGCGCACATAATAGGAATAGGGTTGCTTTCCATAATCACCAGCTGGGTGCGCCCAGGTCTGTTTTGCAATTTCCACCCACAGATGAGTACAGAGTCCTCCCAAATTATTTTACTGCTACTTTTTATTGTGTTTGTTGACGTTTTAGAGTCTGTATCCTTTTTTGGACTAGTGCCAAATCTTCGAAAGCTGATCCGTGTTCGCGCGCCTTCCTACACGAAAACTACTTAAAAACCGTCCTTCCCCCCACCACCATTAAACTTCCGCCATCTATATTCGAAATTTCTTTACATTCAGCTACAGTTGCTTCATCATTCAACAAACAGCATCGCTCTGCTTCGCACTCTACAATTCTTTTTTACTCAACTTCTCCCAGTACCGACAATTTCAGCATCAAAATGACTGGAGGCGGCAAGTCCGGCGGCAAGGCCAGCGGTTCCAAGAACTCGCAGACGTAAGTCATCCTTTCTACGCTTTCTGGTCGTTCACTATTCGTCTCCCTTGTGAACCTGTCATTACATGATTCCTAACCGGATCTTCAGTCGTTCTTCTAAGGCCGGACTGGCTTTCCCTGTTGGTCGTGTTCACCGTCTTCTGCGGAAGGGAAACTATGCTCAGCGCGTCGGTGCTGGTGCTCCCGTGTACCTGGCTGCTGTCCTAGAGTACCTCGCTGCCGAGATTCTTGAGCTGGCAGGAAACGCTGCTCGTGACAACAAGAAGACTCGTATCATTCCCAGACATCTTCAGCTTGCTATCCGGAACGATGAGGAATTGAACAAGCTTCTGGGCCACGTTACTATCGCGCAAGGCGGTGTCCTGCCCAACATTCACCAGAGTATGTTATGTGTCGTACTCCTTACCCAATGTTGATTGTATATGGCTGACAATTTTCTTTTAGACCTTTTGCCCAAGAAGACGGGCAAAGCTGGCAAGAACGCCAGCCAGGAGCTGTAGATGGTTTAGTGGTTTTTATGGTTTCTTCATCCTCTTCGGGATCGTTTGGGTGTCATCGCAATGGGGTCACGGATTCACAATGGTTTTGTCTTTTTATGTTCGGGTTGTACATTAAAGCCCCATTTTATTATTTTACGGCACACGGGTTATGAATGAGGAGATAATATTCTTGATTTCTTGTCTCTTCCGCACTCTGGCGCGTTGTTTATGATGTGGTTGTGTTGCGTCCACAAGAATATTTTGTTACAAGTGATCTTCAAGAAAGCGAATTATATTCGTCGTTGTCAAAAAGGTAGTTTCTTTTGGACTTAGATATCTTCTTGGTCTCGTAGGAACAGTATGTCAATGACGGTTGTTTTGCGTTATATACAGCCTCGTGTCTACCCGGCGCTGCTATCTCTACAACATGCAAGAAAAATGGTCAGGGCGCTTGTCTGATTGCACTTTGTCAAATACTGTATGAGTTGGACAGTCCATAATCATCACCGCTCGTAGGGTGTGTGAGCGGGGTACTGTAGTCTCAGCGGTGTATCATGTCGTTGAGGATGTCCAACTAAATCCCTACTGTCTCCGGTTTTAGGGCTTGATGCGTAATAAAGACCGATATGCACCGCCTAAAACTTTAGAGTTGGAGGCGCTGTTCGTCACTTCGGTTAGCAAAACGTTGACATTGTAAATGTCTCAACGAGCCTGTGTTGTTGAATTAAACGTACGGTCAATAATGGGCGCCGGCAGATTTCTTTCGTATTTCGAACCTGTGGGGAGGTCAGCCGACTGAACGATGCTTTCGTGGCATGCAGTTGCCATATGGGGTTGAACAGACCGCCTGGAGCTGTCGGGAAAGCGAATGGTTCTGGGTGCTTCCACTTTTCCAATAAGTCCTCGGTTTCCTTAAGCAGCGCCTGTTTAGTAGCATTAGATTTATTGTCCACGTTGTATACATTCCCGTATTTTCCACGCTGTGGCGGATGACTTACCCTTTGTTGTCTTGGGCTTGCGATGTTCTTGTTTGCTTCAAAGAGCGATCGAATGTACAAAGCCTGCCCGCGCCATAGGTGTCTATGAACTGCCCAGTCAAGTGACAACTTCAGTGCTCGACGATAAAGTGATCTGGTTTATATCAAATTCGTTAGCCCATCGCGGCATATGACGAATGGTGTTGCCTCTCGCCTGTGAAGGGTGTTGCTAACAGTGTCGCCTGTCGTGTAGACATGTTACAGACTTCGTCTCTGGTATTTCGCGCCTGGCAGGGTAAGTAACGTAGAGCGCTTCACAGGCAGTTTATAATACCTGTGTCGTGGGTGCACGTCGTCAGGGTCGTGTGGTGATCGTGGCAGTTTGGCGCTTTCTATTCCCACTTGATTTCGGCTTTGGGTGTGAAGAATAATAATTTGTTTTGTTGGCGCCTTGGTGCCTGGGGCGGACCACTAGGGTCAATCCCGACCAATTACTCATCCGGTGTAAATACCCACTCTCGCTGTCTCCTCGGAATCAGGTGGCTAGGCTTACATAACGAAGTGTAATGTGACGGCTCCCCATAGGTGTACGGGCCCGTACAAATAAGAAAAATATTACATAATTTCAGCACGGCTTCTGATTGGCCAATCCACACGTACAAATAAAATAATAACGTAAGCATTGTTGAACTTTTGCATCACGATAGAAAAAAAAAGACTTTATATAAAGTATGTGCCCACGTAATACCCTACTACAACGGCTGCCACCTCTCCTGTATATTCTGTAGCCCTGCATCTACACGCTTTATATGTGCCATTACCGTCTGATACTCTACGCGAGCTTCAGCTGCGATGGCCTCCGCGGCCCGCCCTTGCCTGGTGCGGAGCCTCCGTGTACGGACTGTCGATATACGGGAGGTTCGTGTACACCGCCGGCGCCGTGTTACAACGCTCTCCGATTAGGAGCTCGGGAGGAGGGTTGGAGGTTATAGCTTTTGACGATGTTTTTAACGATGCTTTTAACGATGTTTTTAGTGATGTTATTTAAAAAGTTTAACGATGTTTACGTTAT